CTATTTGCCGTGCCAAGTTCCGGGACTCCTCTCTCTGCTCTCTTCCCGTGCACACGTTGGTTGCTGTTCGAAACATGTTTCTTATAAGCGCCCTTTTCGTGTGAGAGGGGTGACAGGAATGGTAATGAACCAAGATGTTTTTACTACTTGGCTTTCGGTACCACTTTGTAATGTAGCCATTTTCTGATAGGTGAATTTGTACGTCCAAAAATGGAAGCCATTTTTCTTTCGGCTTTTCTCGGGTGAACTTGATATACTCTGACTGTGCGTTTAACAATTCGAAGCATTTGTCCATTTCCTCTTGTGTTGAGCAAAAGACAAAGCAGTCGTCTACATACCTACAGTAGAGTAGCGGCCCGAGATCAGTCACCGGTGCTTCCACCTTAGACATAAATGCAATGGCAAGGCTTGGAGCCAGTCGTTGTCCCATTGCCAACCCTCTTATTTGAGCGTAGTATTTTCCAGACCATCTGAAGATTGAGCAGCTCAAGCATTCTTTTAAGAGTGCCATCAGGTGCTCTATCCTGAAGCCATACAGCCAAATGGCTACATTACAAAGTGGTCATAGACCTCATAGAAAGCGGTGAGTGTGCAAAGCTGTGTTCAAAGTGATTGAAATCTTGGTTTGGGGTTTCTTTGTTTGGTTATGGATGCGTCTGGCCGAGTGGATTGCTATCAACTTGACCTTTCCAGGCTCTGAAGAAGGCGAAATCCGCCGAAACGTCAGCTTAATCGTGAACAAAGAACAATAACACCTCGCGTTTGCTCAAAAAAAATACGAACAAAATTACTTGATCAATGCCGAGGTTAATAGAAAGTCGGTCGTGGCAGTTACTACATCATTCTTTTTCTCTGTCGCATGCATGAGTAGCCCAGTGGGTTTTGCTCGCTCTAGAGACTCGTTAAGGGCCATGCCTTTCTTCTGGGCTTTTCCTGAAGAACTCTGACCATCAGATTGGTGTTGTCCTTCCAGCCGTACGTTTGACATCCCGAGAAATTCAGTCACTTACGGTTCTTGTCCATCGGTTGTCGTTCATACGCATTACATTTCAGGACCACTTTAGCATTAACAGTTTGGCGCATAGAACGGCGTTTTTGATGTTTGAGCGTTAACGTAGGTCGGAGCTTAGGATCCTTTCTCTTAATTGTGTGACACGAGATACTCTTAGCATCGTCCTCTCGACTGCACGTTCAATAACGCTAAGTGGTCCTTCACCTTGCTTACTTAGAGGCTTAGGTTGTAGTGAAGGGAACAATGTACACCCAAATTCGTGAACACCTTTTCTACTCGGCTATTCTCCCTACCCTAAGGTATGAGTCAGACGTCAGGGCAGGGAGAATTATAGAGTAGAAAAGGTGTTCACGTAGTTGGGTGTTCTTTGTTCTCTTCACTACATCCTCGATGCCCTTGAAAGCTCCCCAGGCCGCTCGTTTCCTTCTGCTCAGCTCTAGAGCTAAGTCGTTCATGTTGATTTCCCGACCTAGATAGACATAACTGGAGCATTCATTCCATTGAGTGTGAATGGGCATACGTAACCAATCCATTCCTCATGAACGTCATTTTTGTGAGATTTAGTTGAAGTTCAATCTTTCCACAGACTTTAAAACTACTTTTACGATACAGCATTTTACTATGCAATGCACAAAAGTGCTGCAGAGCTTAAACAAATCAAACTGCGAAACACTGGTGTATACATCATACTCATGTGCCTCTTGTTAAGTGACTACCGTTTTTCCAACTCTTTGACAACTACTTTCAAGGGAAAGTTTTCAACAACAGCTAAGAAAATGCCTTCGATGTATTTATTGTTTCCCTACCTTCATGATTTCATGTTGCCTGTGGAGATGAAATTGCATCTTCTTAATTTTTTTTGAAGTATATAATTGTACAACTACTTTGTGTAGGTGTTAACGGTTCTCATTTTGATTAGTAAAGTTGTTCAAGCATAGTTGCAGCAATTTACAACTTACGGTCCGCATCAACAAGTAATTTTGCATCATAGTAATGTATTTTGCACTTAGGAACTTATTTAGGATGACAGAAATTTGATTACCAATTCAAGTTTTTGATCAAAGCAGGATCCTTGTGCAACGTTTTCCTCTGGCGGTTTCATTCTTCTCTACTGGTTTAGTGTTCTTGTTCAAAAAGGTTACTGGCAGAGATTATATCTTTAGATGGTCCGGCCAGCGTTATGAGTTTTTGGTGACCCTTTTCTATTTCTGGATGATTGTGCTATTTTTTGAATTTTTTTCTACCATCACAAAGCGAAAATATTCATTAACCTTTTTTGTATGTGTATTGTAAATGTAATGATTTGTTATTCAGATTTGCCAAAACCTGAATTGTATCCGAAGATTGAAGAAGCATTGCTGACAGCTGTTAAAGAGGTGTGCAGGATGTTGGAAAAAATTTCCTAATTAATTTTATTAATTTCATGCATTAAGGTTTGTGGAGATGGATCAGTAACGTTGCAACAGTCTGAAGAGCCGGCTATTCGTGTAGAAGCTGATGAAAAGGTTGCCATCATCTCTTCGGGAGGGGCTCAAGTCGATTGCGATGATCCTCTATTGCGGCACCTTCTTTCGACCATCAGTTCAAAACTGAGAAGATGTGTTGCTCCAGAGAAAGTCACACCTTCTGAAGCAATGGAAGTCGATGAAAAATAATCAGTATACTTAGTTGAAGTTTTTTTCTTGATGGTTTTTCCTGTCAATACGCTGGAAAGATTTTATGCTCCAACTTTTTGTAACACAGTAGCAGTCGAAATGAACTGTCATATGTTCTAAATTCAGGTTTTAAACGGGTAATCGTGCGCGTCCAATCACAATTTTCAATTGAGTAGTGCGTTGCTGGTTGGTTGGATAAGGTTCCCTTCTGATGGATTTATAAGCAGTCCTAAGGAGCGCCTCAATATTCGTCGCCCATTGTGGATCGGAAGAAGTTTGGGCACTGTGTGACTAGGTTTTTCTAGGATGACGACAATTGCCGGTCATCAGTGCCTTCGCATGGAAATATCGAGTTTTTTGTTGCAGCTTCACTCCAAATGAATTGGCCGAAGAGGAAAGAGAGCTAGTTCAGTGGCTTACTTTAAACAGAAATAGTTGTTGAAAGAGTTGTAAGAGTAGGTTTTTGAATGAGAGCATTGTGTGTGGCCTTATAGAGAAGTTCGGCAGAATGGCGCTACCACACGTGGTTCATTGCTGGTACAGTTCCCACTTCTAGTTTTTCTAGGCTAATTCTCATCGATTGTCCGTCAGCGAGCTTCTTTATGAAAGCTGAAATGCGGACCTTTCGGAAAGTTTCCATACAGTGTTTATCACTCAATAATCGATCGTCTTTAACAGTTTAGGAATCACAATTATAAAGACACGTTGTGTAGATGAATTTGAATGAAAACGTAAAATTTTTCTTTCGTACTACCTTGAAAGATCTACGTGAACGTTTACTAATCACCAAAACAAAAAGAAATCGAATACAAATTAAAGAAGTTGCATAAGAGGTTCAAAAGATCTCAATGTGGGTTTAGTATCCTTGATAGGCTGACCTGAAGGCTGTAGTCCGTATATATTCTTTGTATTTATGTAAACGGTGTAAAATTAATGGAACATTTTCCTCCAATCACATTTTTTATTTCCCAGTGATTTTCTGATGTTGCTTCCCATCGGAGCTTTTATGACTCACTAGCAATTATCGGAATGTCTGTAAAGACTTGGTGACACGTCAAACTTTGTGCTTATATGATAAACAGTTGGTTGTTATCGTTGAAAGCAGCCATTTGTGGTGGCATTTATAGTTGTCCATCCATTGCTTTCCGTTCTTATTTCTTCGGTCATTTTATCTTAAGCGTAACAAGTGCTTTTAAAGCAAAGCAATTTTATGTATATAGGCTTGCACGGCGTCCCAGCTTTGTGCCCTTATTTCATTGTTTTCTCCGTAATGATCTTCCATTGTTGGATGGTTGTTTGTTAATTGTATGATATAAATTTGTTACAATACTATATGGAGATGAAGTTATGATGAACAGAGGACGGTGTGTGAAGGTGGGAAGTCCTTACATGTGATTATCTTTTAACGTGGCACTCACTATTGTTCTAATCAGTTGACGACTTTGGTATTCTACTGAACGATGTTGCTCTGAAATGAAAGTGGGGTTAGGAAATGTGAGTAAGGTTGTCCTGAGAAGAAAAATTTGTGACACGTGTGGTAAGAGAGCGAAAATAAAAAGGTATAAAGTTCTCGGCCTTGATCAATCCTTCAGGTATGCGGCATGCTTCGTTAAGCATCGCTTGGATTGAATGCATGTTTCGCCTTTACAATGACTCTCGGTGACCTACTGACGCATCGATCCAGTGCTTCTGTCCTAGCGGACAAGTCGGGCACCAATTCGCCGACCCTGTAGGTCTGGAAGGCTTGGTGGGTCAGGGCGCCGGAAGCGATCCCATGTGTATTGCAGGGCACTTCCGCCCACTACGCCACACGCGCCCATTAGACTGCGCCATGCAGTTAGTGAAAAAGGTATGGAAAAACCGTTCTGGGAAAAATATGGAGAGTAACGAAGAAGTGACGGGTCATCTACCTTATTGAATTTATTTCCCTCACATGAGAAGTTGAAAACAGAGTTTCGTCAGCTCTTGAAGGATGGCAATTATTTTAAGGACGAGGGAAATCAGAAACCGACTGGCGCTGCCTTAGTGGGTTTTCGCACGTTTATCGCTGATCGAGTATTATAGAACGGGTATGTCTGGTGAATAGTTTTCCATCGCTCGTTGCTTATTCACTGGTGGCTGAGTGGCGCTCATCGAGCTTCTCCTCAGGAATCGATCCGCCGTGTCGCCGGCACTCCATCCTCGCGGGTCGGCCTCGCAGGGTTCCCGAAAATATGCGCACCTCTCTTGCCGTCTGTTAGCCATCCACTGAACTTCGGTTGACGTTTTGTATTCTGTCTGAACGTATGGGTTGATTCCACTGAACGTGGGCTGACGAATGAAATTCTCCTTGCTTCGAGACACGTCGTTGTTACTCCCACGATGTTTCAGTGCTTTTTGGCCAGTAGGCTACTAGTCAGATTGAATACTCTGCATTAAACTAGACCAGTCAGATCACTAAAGATTTCAGCGATACCGAAATGAAAGCTACCTAGGCTACAGTGGAAGATTTATAGAGCGCGGAAGTCGATTGGGAAGAAATTACTATATAAATCGTTTTGATTTCTTCTGGAACTCTTCCAGAATGTGGGATTAATGAGTTTCGCGTTAGGCTAAGAAACAGCCAACAGTCTGTTCATATTCATTTGCTTCAACTAACTTTATTTCTATTTGACTAAAATAATTGAAAGTGCGATTGAGAGGAGAAATCGCAATTTTTCATTCTGAAATGTGAGATGGTTCTGTTTTCTCATAGTCCGCTGATCCAACTTCTTTTTCCTCAGTGGTCGAATCTGTTAAGAAGGGTATTTCCAGCTATCTTTTCTTCGTCTTTCTTTAATTATTGTACTTGAATCCTTTACGATTTTTGAGCTCCTTAAGCCCCAAAAAAGGTCGTAAAACCATCAAAACGTGAGGAACTTTTTCAGGGCCTATTATATATCTACGTCTCTGAGTTGCGTCATTCAGACTCTTTATTTTTTTTCTCACTTTTTTCTTCTCGTAAAATGTAAAAATAAAATGTTACCTTGTTGTTGTTTTTAAAGCATTTAATCTCTATTTTTTGGCTTGTGTGGCGCCGTTGTTAGAGGCGCCGTGCGACATACGTGGGGTAGATTGCCGCGTCCGTGGCTCACCAAGCCTTCCATCCCTCCGGGGTCGGCAAATTGGTACCAGACTTGTCTGGGAGGATGGCAGCACTGACTCGATACATCGGCAGGCCAACCGAGTCGTTGTGAAGGCCACATATGCATTCAATCATTTCCAATGATGCTTACTGAAGTCGAGTGTGTGCACATCCCTCAGGGATTGATCAACGCCGAGAGTTTTATCCTTTTATTTTATCCTTTGGTGAGATTTATGGATGAGCACTTTAGTTCTTCAGTAATTTTTCCCATACTAGCCTCGTTTTCTATCCTCAAGTACTTACTGATTTCTTAGTCGAAACCCTCGTTGAGTTTCTTACCTAACCCCATACTTTAACCCTTTAACCGCTCCTATTCTTCATTGTCTGCCTAATTGTTCATTTTTGCTAGTTTTTAAAAATATGCTCTGCTGATCCACATTCTGTCTATATATGGACTAGATTTTTCCGGTGTTTTTATGGTATTGATTTACAATAATGTGGATTTGAAAAATTCTCAAGCATTTCTAGTTTTATGTCAGTGCGAGAGTTACGGATCTGGAGACGAACCGATAGCAGACAGACACCTGCCATTTTAATTGACAAGAACAGCTTCGACTGCTCACTGCTGCTGCAGAATGGAAGCATCGCAACGCTCGGTAGGTGATGTGTTTATGATCGGTTCCGTGTTCCATGGATAGCCTGCTGGCTGGCTTCTATGTAGCTCGTGAAGGATCTTTAGGTAATCAGTAGGGGTGCCCGGCTGTCCACAAACTCCACGACCGCTGCTTTCTTGACCGGGTTGAGGCCTTTCTTAACTCAACAGAAGACAAAGCGGTCTCTTGTACTGTGAAAATGCTCCGACCATAGTATCACTTTTTCTGAAATTAGAGTATATTTGTGATTCAAACGTTGGTAAAAATGTGATTTACAAATAATTAGGTATGGATAGCACACACATGGCATACGTGATTCGAATGTTCCGATTTCTGTTATACAGATATTTCAATAATTTAGATTTAACTTCAGTAGAACCAGCTCAGAGACAGGCAAAACGATGGACCCGCATGGTGTGGTGGTGAACGCGTTACTCCTCGAAAAGGACAATAGCGCGTTCGTTCCCCACTGCATACACCTGCGGTCCAGAGTTTTGCAAATATCTCAGCATCATTGAAGTTATGTTTCGCAATATACCCTGCCATTAAAAAGAGTGGGCGGTAAATAGGAAAGTTAAAAATGTTGATTTATTTTACATTTTTGCATGACCCGTCATCAGATATACTATGCGTATCTCGGCAGTTCTTGCATTCGATCCGTTTCTTCATATTGTTCATCGTCCACAAAGGTCTTCGAACACTTCGCATGTTTGTTTGGTTATGGAGGCGTCTGGCCGAGTAGATTGCTATCAACTTGACCTTTCCAGGCTCTGAGGAAGGCGAAATCCGCCGAAACGTCAACTTAATCGTGAACAAAGAATAATAACACCTCGCGTTTGCTCAACAGAAATACGAAGAAAATCACTTCGCATGTTGTTTAGGCTGCCGCTCAGGAATTTCGTTTTTTTTTGTGATTGTTGGAGAATGCTGGTCGGTTTGGTTCTTCTAGCAATGTTGAAGTTATTTGAGCTGGAGCGTTCTCGCGTGGTTTCAGTGGAGATCGTTTTGGCGGGGCTCGAACTAGCGCCTTTGGTTCCATTTCGACGGCATCACTGAGCACTGCGATATCCTTTCCTCTCTAATGTATATCGCTTGAATCTTTTGAAAATTTGAGCTAATTTATCATCGAGCATGTAGAGTTGATTTACTCGAAGAGCTGGAGAGCTCATTGGCGCAACAGTAATTTCTAGGCAGCGCCTAGATTTTCTCTCAATTGTTTTGCTATTATTTCTATGTAAATGCTCAACGTAAGATAGGAAACAATCATTTTTCTTTGGATTATCGACGGCAGTGTTTTCCGTAAATGCAGGTGTTTTTTGGGCAGCTACTTGTGGAGGGGTCTACTGATCCAGCCAGTACTAAAAAAAAACAGCTGATTGATGTTAACTATAAACATGTTCCCTCCATCGCAGAGCACTCTAGAGAACTCTTCCATCCCTTGCGAACCAGTCGTCCACCTGTCGTCTATTGTTTTCACTATGTGACAAGTCCATCTATGCTTCGCTATCGATGTATATTATCCTGATTCCCGAAGATGGACTAGGTTTCGAAGATCCGAGTCGCCTATTCCGGATAGACGTTGTGAGCGCCGACTGTATTTCAGAAGATATCGTTTAATTGCTCTATGAGCGGTGCGCAGGCTTTTCGACACAGTTGAAGTATCAAAGCTGTGATTCGAGCAGAGTTAGATGGCTGTTCTGTTCGAAATCCCACTATTTGCCAACCTACTAGGTTTATACAAATGTTGAAATAATGATCATAGGATTGTGCAGATGGACATTGTTATAATTGTTTAACCTTCATTTACTGCCTAGTCTTCTTTCTTGGCAGGGTATTATGTGGAGCTTAACTGGGTTCTACCCCAGCTTGTGCTTCCCAGATCCTTTTTGTTCACGAGTTGTTGCTGGTAGCATCGTTAGACTAGAAAAAACTGGCTAAGAGAGAGGCATAGCATTAATAGTGGGTTCGAAGCTCAGTTCGCGTACCCAGTTTTGCACATATTTCAGCATTCTTTGTGACTGTTATGGTTGTCGTTGTAAGCGAAATTTTCTAAATTTTTGCCGACAGGAGAACGGTAGGGAATGGTGGTTGTCTCTTGCGGAGAGCTGGAACAGTCCAGTTCCACAAGAGCTACTTGTACAATTTGACCCTTCCAAGGCTTTCATAGTCTTTGTTCAGTTTAAGAATGTATACGCAGATTCTTTCAGATTCGGATTCTGCTGAAGTGGAAAGACGCGGTTACACGAAAATCATGGACTCCTATGGGATTATGGGTGTCTTGCGAATAAGCAGAGGTTCACACTCAGTTTTTCCAATTTTTACATAATTCAGTGAAGTGGGAAAAGTCAACCAGTTCTTTGGATTCAAAGAATAAATTATATCCGTCAATATATTGCGTTATTAAAATGCGAGATGTGTTTCTTTCCTAACTGTTAGAATTTTTCCAAAGATCTAAGGTAGGACGAAAAGACTCATTTCTTAGAATATCGGTCTTTTAATTTTAAAAGTCCCAGCAGTGACAACCACTAACCAGCCTATTGTAGTGATCGTTATGCTTCGCTTATTTCAGAAAGTTCATTTTGCTCAGTTAATCATGACTAATTCAGCTGAACATGTCTTGGTGGCCGTGACTGGAGTGCTGTCGGTAGGACAGCTCTATGGTGCGGACATCGTCAAAGTGATCTCATGTGACTTCATCTCACTTCGTAGCTTTGCACCGGTTGAATATATCGATCCTCGTATAGTCGATGTGAGTATGTAATAATCTTTAGGCACCTGTTTTCAGTTAACTGCAATTTCTTCATTTTCTCCGAGTTATTTTTGAAAACATCGCTTTACTTTTCATACGCTATAAGTTTGATTTAAATATTCAACAAAGTAAAAGTTATAATGTTTGCCGAACCCCATTGGACAAAGTGACTCAGTCATATAATAATTTTTGCCTTTCTCTATAAGCTGTTCTCGAAATGACGAACTGGTTGAGTCAAGGAGTCAGACCGAATAAAAACGGATGAACTAGGGAAAGCCAGCTTGGACTATTTATTCACTTCTCGGTTGCATGATCAGTTGCCTTGTGTGAGATGAAGAAGAATCTGTCCTTCATTTCTTTCAGTGTAGTCTTTAATGTTTTAGTTACAACGGTTGCTTTCATCGGGTATGTTTTATTTTTCTTCAAATCCTCGATACGACATCACTTTGTGTGCACAACGTCGATCCGCAAACACTGGTAGTGACCAGAGATTTTTTTGGTTAGTTGGAGATAATTTTTATCCCTGTTCTGTTTTTTTTCCTTGTGAACTATGACTATTCGTCTATTTTCGTGTCATCGTTTTTTCGAGAATCTTTTTGACAGTAAGCGAATAATTTCAGCTCAAGCTGTTCGACCTTTTGAATTGAGATTGTTCTATGAAAATCCTATATAAATGCTCAGTAGAAAACATTTCAGTTGATTTTTCGTAAAAACAAAACTAAAGGATGACTTATTTCGTGAATCAAAAGTATTTTCCTGCAACATTTTAGGAATCGATGTCTTCATTTCCCCTTCGAGAGGTTTGGCATTGACACATCACAGTGGTTGCTTAAATGTATTGTTGGGTGAGTGCTAAAATATGTCCTACTGTTGGGCCATTAATTTTCCGGGCTCTGTCTAAATTAGTGATCCAGCAAATTGATGTCTGTATAGGTATAAGCAGATATTTTCAGTTAGAAAGGTGATGAAAAACAGTCCATCAGCAATATTGCAACTAGAAACCATACTTGTACTTTGGTTTTTGGACATTCATAAGGAGTAATCACCGAATCATATCGTACTTTACCAAACTCTGCATAGAAGCGATAAAAATAAATTTGAAAAGAGAGTAGCAGCAGTTATGCCTGAAGCTACAGAGATCATAAAAGAAGTTGCAATGCCTACCGAAGCTTGGCCAATTAAATCATCGGACGGAACGGTCGTTACTTCGCGAAAGCCAGTAGAGAAAATCATCGGCGACTTCTATTTTTATCTGGTACCTCTTCCTCTTTCCATAAATTAAGAAGGGTGGATGTGTAGTCCAACCAAAGGATTTTAAAGATTTCAAACTTTTTTCTAATGTCCAGAACGTTGATAACTCAGTTCTCAACGTTACGTGTTAGGAAGAACATGTTGTGCCGCCAAAATAAGGACCTACATGACATCCACAGCTATCAATTATTCTTCTTGAAAACTGGATTTCATTTAACCTTGTTGTGAATAGTCAATATACTTTGTCCATTAGTATGCTAACATGAGGTTCTTGTAAAACTTTTGTTCATATAACGTTTGGGTATCTCCGTCTGCTTCAGAGTTCAAGTGATTTGAGTCGATTGTCCAAAGCCGTTCATTCTTGCGATGTGGGTCTTTCTATTCGCATCGAGTCGAGTGAAGCACGAATGAAGTAACCTCACCTAGTATTTTCCTTTTATGCAGAATGGTTGTCGATTGACTGATTTCGTCTTTTTCCGAACAAACCAGCCAATCCTGCAGGAGTCAATGTCACATTAGTTGACACATAGCGAAATAATGGCTTAGAAAACTGAGTTTCATTTAACCTCGTCATAAGGAATAAGTGATATTTTGCCTTGTTTATGAGCTTATTCCAGTATTTTGTTGTATTAATGAGCCTCTACGATTTTTGCTGGTTGAAGTCATTCGTTCATTCGAGCGGTGGTCCACTGCGAAAGGTCCAACACGATGCGCCGAAGAAGACCCACATCATGAGACGAATAAAAGTCCCATAATAAACTCTTGTTAGTTTAATCATGTAGCAAACATACTTTTCGAACAGGACTTTTGTAAAATGGCTGATAAGCGTGTAGCTCTTTTTCCGGATATAGATCCAATAAAGTGAACAATTACTTGGATTGCATAGAAAAACTTGGAAGCTACGTGAACAAGCACTGAAAGTACTATGATATCTACGCATATTTTTCAATATGAGAAAGACTTTCTTATGCCCTTAGGGTAAAACACCAGGTTTGTGTAGCGCGCATATCGTTCTTTGGCACTTTTTGGGATATCGTAGTTCGTATTTTCTATTTCAAATGGAGATGCAAGTGGACAGATGTAATTCCTCTCACAAGGATAAGAGAGTGGTATTTCCTGAATGCTTCGTTATTAGCGACTCTTCTATAATCTTAGGGAGCATTTTTTTTCAAACCAGAAAGTATTGGGACATATATAGCGTTGTAAACAGCTTTTTTTTAAAGCTGTCAAGTCCTGGATTGATCTAGTTGGCGAAGAAGCTGCGCGATCTTCGATAGGCTAGGTTTTGATGAAAAAATTATTTGCTTTACGGTTTTCGACATTACGAGTCACTTTCTAGTCACATATGGCCCATATTGTGCCTGAGAGAAAAGGCTTCTATAGCACTTATCGAAAATGCGAGGTTTTGGATCTGTTAAAAAAATCACCGTAGTGAAAGATGAAATTTTAGAAACATGAGTTCGCGTTGGCATTTATAACATCATGCCTTGATGAATAAAAAGGTGAAACAGAAGCAGGTAGGATTCGTGAAGAACTCAGATGTACATGTTCTCCTAGTTCAGTTCAGTACTGGTTCGTACGGTGTACATCGGTCATCGAACAGCGCGAGTGGCGCTATTGTCACGACTCAGCTGCGAACGAGTGGGCACACGATTCAATATCCGTGGAGTCAACTCAAATGGATGTGTCGCTAACTTCGTCGAGACTGAGCAGGTATCGGACCGTACGACATCGTCCTCACCACTGCTTCAGCATTTGTAGTTTAGGCCATCGTCTTTGACGACAATGACTGTTCCTTCGTGCAAATTCGTGGATCCGTGCCTTTGTTCTGGGAGCAGCCTGGAGTTCAAGTTGGTTCACACAAGGTGAAGCTAAGGGCGTTTGAGGCCAGCGTACCTGCATTCCAAAGGTGAAAATTCTCACGTATTGCATGATGTTAATGCTCATTTATCAAGTGCTTACCAAGTATTAAGCTTAACTGGAAACTAGTAAAATCCTTAAAAACGTATATTTTCGCAAATATTAATGTGATAGAAAGATAGAGGATAACGGGTCCGGTGTTGACCAGTTCATGATGAATTCGCCATTGAAGTCCACTAGGCACCGCAGAGGTGATTCAGCACATATCTCACCTACACAAGGACTTGCAGTATTCTTCTGGATACAAGGATATGTATCAGGACAGTGCTTCTCTCATTCCAGATGAGTCCGGCATCAATTTGCCACCCAGAAGACATAGTGAGCTTCTAGAGTCTGTGGCACGCGATCGAACAACCACATGTGTGCTGCAGAACATCCCTACTCACTGGACTACACACACCTTCCCGTAATATTATATCTTTGCAGTATGACGAGATTTTGCATAATGCTGAAGTCGTGAGAGGCTGTGTGGGGATGGTTATCAAACTTTCCAAGTTTTGATAAAATTGGGAATCTGCTACTATGACTCCATTCGGAGCTGTAGTAAAGTATCAAGACCAAAATAGGTTAGACCGACGAAAGCTGACTGATATGATTTTTAGACAGGAAAGTCAGACATTTTGATTCCAATATTCTTCACAGAGGTGGGTGTAACACAGCGGCGGGAGATGCCCTTCATTACACACGTGGTCTTTTGTTCCATCCCGCTAGCAATTTCGCACCAGACTTGTCTTGGAGTATAGCAATACTGACTTGGTACATCGGTAGGGTACCGTGAGTCATTTGTACAGGCCAGATATGCATTCATTCAATCACCTCCAACGATGCCTAATGAAGTCGAATGCATAGCACTTCCTTCATAGGCTGATCAACTCTAGGAGCTTTATCTTTATCCTTTATTCTTACACACTGTGAATGTTAACAACAAAGATTTGTTCTGTGCAGTCCCGTTTACCATTTTCATGTTGGAAAAATTCGAGAAAGGAAATACTCAAGCGAATCCTTTCATTTCAGCCTTAAAAAGTATAGCTTGTGTTCATATTATCATATTTTCACTATTTAAAAACAAACGCTTCTTTGGCAAAAAACTTAATATATGCGTTTACTGTGGAATATATTAGTTACGGCTGAAGAATTATTTACCATGTATGGAAGAGCTGTCATGGAGAAAGTTTTTTGAATGATTAGAACCTACCGAGCTGTAAGCTGATCTGCCAGCTTTAAAAGAATTGGATCACAGCTGGATTACTTTTTGGTCCTATCGCGACTTGTTGATCTTCTTTTCAACATCATCAGTTTCCTAGAAAAGTAAAGCCGGAGAGGGTACGACTCGTTTTTCCCGTTTTTCTCCTCTTTGAAATTCAGGGTGAGATCGATCCCATAACCAAAGCTGCCTGCTCGTCGAGTGAGATCAGTAGTCGATCCGTATATTTTGCATTGTGATGTCGATCATCTGGAGTTCAGTTAACTTCATGATGTTTCAGGCATTTTTCGCGCTTGATTTCATTGTATGGAAAAATAACAATTGTGAATCTTCTGGGAAGGAAAGAAGGCGAACGAATCCTCTCCGATGCATTCAAGGTATGTTATTTCTTGCGTGCTAAAATATGCCACCATCTTTTGAACTTTCGGCTGCTGGTCCTCTTCAAACTACCTTGTCAACTGCTTTGTAGTAGTGAAACAATAAATCTCAGAAATTCACCGAATTTTGAGTGCTTATTTTTATTTCCACCATACGATGGGCTAGAAAACTAGGTGAAGAGAGTGGAAATCTTAAATGGTTGTATAAAGAAGTAAATGAGGAGATCCCCAGCACAGACACCTGCGATCCGGAGTTTTGCAAATATCTGAGCATCACTGTAGTTAAACGAGGAGATTCTATTTCTTTTACTGAGGAAAAGTTCTCTAAAAGGGTGAATGATAAAGCTTTCAACGTTGATCAATCCGCAAGGGATGCGCCATGCATTCGACTTCATTAAGCATCGTTGGAGGTGATTAAATGCATATCTGGCCTTTACAATGACTCGCGGTGGCCTACCGATGTATCGAGCCAGTGCCGCCATCCTCCCAGACAAGTCTGGTAGCATTTTGCCGACCGCGGAGGTATAGAAGGCTTGGTGGGCCATAAGTGCGGTGATCGATCCCATGTGTGTATTGCAGAGCGCCTCCGACCACTACGCCACAGGCGCCCCTAGACTGTGTTTGATTACATAGTATCTGCGCTTTAAACTGTATTATACTTTTATATGGGGTTCCTGTTTAGACGCAGTATAAGAATTCGAAGCTAACGTCTTCTGTCGACTTCTTCGAATTCGATTATCACTATCAGATGAAAATTTCCAAGGATTCACTTGGTCATCTGCTCAAAAAACTTGCTCCTTCAATCGAGGTGAACTCACTGTACGTTTCTATTGATGGGACCGTTAAAACGTGAGTACATCGTATTTTTTCAAGAATCCGATTTTCTTTATGTTTATAGGATTTTTATTTTAATAAAATAAGTGCGTAAATATTTGGTGAGGTTGTAGATAGTCACTTGTTTCTCAGGCAGCAATCTGGTGTTTTGCGAGTTAATTGTCTGGACTGTCTTGATCGAACGAATTCTGTTCAAACAGCTGTTGGCCTCATGGTTAGTTCTGTGTCGTTCCCATTCTCAGTTCCTCTGTTATCGGTCTGTTCCAAAACAATTTACTCACTATCGTCTACCTTCTCTTTTTACGATCAATTGAAATAAGAAACTTACTTAATGGAGTCTTTGAGTCTTTGTTTTCGTTTTATCTCTACTCAGTACAGATAGCTTTTTGATTCTGTCTCACATTTTGGTACTTAATATATGCGATTTGCCAGAAGGCATTAAAGTGTTCTATTATTCCGAACGACTTGTTTATGTTTATTATAACTAGGTATATCTCGTTCAAAAGTTTGGTTTTACCGTCTCATAATGGGTGGGAGTGTTCCTGGATGTTTAACAGCAATGGAAACAGTGGTTTATCCTCCAACCAGTTCTACCCTCACTGAGGAGGAAGTTAGACACTTTCATTCGAAAACTTGGGTAAGAGTAAATCTATCCCATCGTTATAGCCCAGCGAACTAACTGTGGCTACCATGTGGAAAAAAAATTTGGAACAATATAAAACAGCTTCGTATCAAAATGTTTTCTGTTCGTTGGGAGAGCACAGCGCACGTAGCGGCTTTGATGCACAGAGGGCGTAAATGGAGTTTAGTGGTGTCTTCATCATAGCATTCTAAAGACCGTTGAGGAACAAAGCTAATTCAGAGCACTAAGGAACTAGGTGGTCTGTGGTAACGACCTTAGAACGCTCTAAAACGATTGGATCGGGACATCAACAAAGAACGTCACATTTTCAAACTGTTACTTACAGTGAAAAGTATTAAATACCGTAACAATTCTGTTATCCGGAGGCTTATGGTGAAAACATTTTACTTAGTCAGAGTTGCATTTCAGTGTCCACCACATCGAAGGCTGTCTGTTACGGCATCGGAGACAAACAATAAGAGACAATTAAATTACGGGTTGCCTTGCGATGAGATGAAAACAGCATGTCCACGACACGCCTTGGAGATTATCTCTTGCTTCTCGCTTAATGCGACAAAACATATCGTTAGACGATGATGTTCGTCTGTCCATCTGTTACCTATAATTACTATGCGACTGTATCACTTCGCACAGTTATCACATTTCTCCAACGCCCTCGAAGGAAATGGTCCACAACGAGAATCTTATCAATTTGTTGACAGGTACTTGAACGCCAGATACTAAGGGCTACTGAAAGTCTGTGCAGGATGACTAGATTTACAGTAACAGAACGAAGTAAGAATGGAATCCGTATTAATGGGCTGCTGTCCACATGATGCGATTTTCATCTTTTTACACAACCTGGAATCACATGTTGTGCGGATCCTAGCGCATCTTGCAAGCCATTCGTTTCATCGCATTCGTACTCCACGAACGTCTTCGAACTTCTCGCTATGGATTCGGTTGCTGCGAGAGGATTTGTGTCTTTTTATGAATGCTGTTAAATTCCGGTCGAGACAATCTTGGTGGAACACTGGAATAGTCGTGCTAGGGAGCTCCCAGATCTTCCTCACAGGCAATAGCCAGCTTATGTGTGTTGGAGCGAACAACTCTTTTGTCAATTTTCCCATCCCGATGTGATGCAGGACTTGATTATCGTTGGGTGAAGTTGAACCAACGCGTCGCTTATACCGAACGGCATCACTACTTCAACCACCCATCATGCTCGTCACTCTAAAAATGAGAAAGTTGCCGCTGGACGCGGAAACCCCATCCTGGGGCGCTACTCGTGCTGTGCTCAACAAGCGGGAAGCGCTGCCTGTTTGATATCGCCGTAGTACCATTTTTCCATTTTAGATCTGATTACTTCGTATTCGCTTGTATTCAGCTGCAAAAGTACATCTCTCATCGTTCAGGAAGAAAAGTAGAAGTCGTGTGTGACGAGAACATTCTGACTTGCATGCTTTATCTAAATGGCTGACACTTTAAAGATATCTCAAGCAAGGGCTACAACTCGTTGTTTGAAAGACTTCAGAACTGTGTACAGCCTGCCTTGGCTTCTAGAACAGTTCTATTGTTGCATTGAGTTGTTGGATAAAAGAAGAAAATAGAGGTCATTTTTGAATGGAAATAGGTCACACTACGAGCAATAAACTTCTCGGCAGGAAATCCTTGGAGGAGAACACGTAATGGTGCAAGTAGAAAAGAAAATATATGAAACAGTTTGAAAAGAATGCTGACCAAAAATAAAATCCATGACACCTCCAGCGATGGCGTGAAATTTACAGCAGAAAAGTTGATTCTAAATTTTTTCAATTTGACAGCTTTGGTTCTATATCCTGAATTCCGGCTTGATGAAAGCGATTCAGAACATTTCTCTACAAATGTCCGACATGTGACTGAAAGCACAACGGCGTTTGCAGCTCCAAGATCTAGAAGAACATGTGTCTTCCTCTGAAGTTAAAGTCACGAGCTACATTCGCTTTTAACACTACGTTGGTAAAATATCCTAGGAGGAGGACCTGTGGAGTAGTAGTAAAGCAGTGAAAATACTTAGAGAGGATGAAAGACAAGGAGAGCAGGTAACCTGAGAAATTCGAATTGTGGGAAAACTACGTCCCAAGAGAGAACGACGATCTAGATAGTTCTTTGATTACAAAGGCTACACCCGATAAATACCTACGAAATCTGTTTCACATAATGAAGTGGATTAGGAGCTATTCACAAGAAGAAGAAGAATACATGAACTGCGTTCATAAGTTATCTAGTTTTCGAGGTTCACAGCAGTGCACATCTAAAGCGAAGCAAATGTGGGCTGGTTTTTGAGGATAGAAGTTATTGATGGATGGATTAAGGAAACGGTAAAGTGAACTCAAACAAAATGCAAGCGTACAATGCAGCCACTACCTACAAGGAAGGTAGACTAGACATTCTCACGATCGCCCTAGAACTCTACAATAAACAATATTGACGAGAGAAAGGGTCGGAGTAGCCGCTGGAGTAGAGGTCGTTCAAGTTCTCAAGTGATTCCCAGCAAAGTTGTCTAATTATTTCTTTGCGCAAAGTTTCTTAGTGGTTACTGGTAAAACCCGTAGTGACATTTTCTCTTCAAACATATATCAGTGCATTGGAACTGGAAATTTTTCTGGATTGTATTTCACGGTTGTATTTGTTTATTCGTTATTCTTCTCCTGTTTAGGTTGTCAAGGAGCAAGTGGCTGCGTTAGGTTTGAACAAAGACAAGGTGAACGTCAGTCAGCGTATCGAGGAGATTCTGCGAGATCTTTGGCAGAAAAACGGAGATCTTTGTAGCAATATTTATGCAGGTACAGGAGCACTCGATGGGAAAAGTAAGGTGGGAAAGATTCTTGTTTAGTTATGCTTTTAATTATTTCAGGGAAAGATGTATCACACTTTTGAGTGCATAATCATATGTGTCATACTATGCACAATAATTTTATCTTTTCCACATGATCTGTCGTCGCATTTCCTATTTGCATCTCGGTACTTTTTGCATCCGCTTCGATTTCCTCACATTCATCGTCCACAAATGTCTTCGAACATTTCGCATCTTGTTTCGGCTGCTGTTTACTGGTTTCGCCTTCTTCATGAATGTCGTTTTATGCTGGTCGACTCGATTCTCCTTGCAATCTTGGAGGTGGTGTTACCAATTAGGTCGAAGGGGAGTGTTGGAGAGGGGGTCGAAGCAAACCTTTGAAATACGGGAGTCTGATTGATGTTGTATCTATGAGATCTAATGTGGATGCTTAGACGGGGCCTCTTCAAATGCCAAATGGGCTCATTCACTTCTCTCTGTTCAATTTGTTGCCTTTTAAGCATTTTCAATGGGTAGCGGTCGAGTTTATGTGTTCTAGGCACTGCAAGTCTTTGCCACAGAGTGTTGCCACTCTTTATGGGATCAGAGAGGAGTTTTCTACCAGTTTAATAAAATTCTTCAAGATAACTGTGATTCCTGTAATAGGTATGAGAAATTTGAGAACCATAATTTCAATGAATGCTTTTGTAAAAGCAGTTGATAAAGTCATTTGTTATGTTAATAATTACAGTTACTGAGGTGAAGAGGGGTGAAAATGTATGGGAGCAGACTACATGTCAGAAATTATTCTAGGGATTGAAATTCAGAAGTGTTTTCAGCTGAAGGATGCGTCGCGTTCAATTGCTCGAACTATCCAGAACAATTTGATGGACAGTTCAAAGCAGGAGTCCTTTGATATTTTTCTTTCGGGCACTTGGTTCGATTCGCAGACCTTCGACCGAGCAGCGAACATTCTTCCGAGTCCTGTCCTCAACGGTCCGTTCATTGGCGCACCAAGTCCATTAGCCATGAATTTTTATTTTAATCTTTTTAAATTTCAGACGACTACTATTTCTACGGTATGGTGGAGCTTCTGATTCTTCGTCATTGTTGACCAAGTTTTGAGTGTTTTGCATACGTTTATGTTTCCAACAAGGCAATCAATGTAATAAAGCCTTTTTGAAGAGTGTGAAGAAGCCGTGAATCAGGTGGTTGGTCGAGTTCAGGAAATCACGTCGCTGAATCCAATCAAAATATTTGTGGGTGGGTTTTCCTTAACGAATTTGATGTCGACGTCTTGCGTTCGTTTCAGAAATCACTTTTTTCAGTTTTGGTGAAGGTAATGTTTTTGTAAAGTTTGCTTTTTCTTTTTTTGATAAGTAGATAGTCGTTCCCGTTATTGGGTGACCACATCATTGGAAACTACACTTTCCCAATTTTTTTTAAATTACAGTTTCGACTATATTGGATCTACTCGGTGTTCTTTCGTGAATACATTGTTGGATTTTGTTGTACGATTATGACAAACAATAGATGGGTTTTAGCTTCGTAGTGCTTCTTTCCTCCTACCAACGGTTTACCGCATCATCGTGGGTGGTATGTATTCCTAGGTGTCAGGCTGCGATATACAGTGGGAGGATTCATCCACCAGCAGGGTCTTCCAAACTGAGAAGGAGTCCAGCGTTTCCTTAAGGAAGCCTTGCTAAGAGTAAACCATTACCAAGATCCACCACCGTCCTAGCATCAAGGTCGCATGTGGCAAATCTCCCTCCGATCCACAAAGGGTGTGACAGCCTGTGGTGGTAACGACCCGGGGCAGGCCTTGGCCTGGTTGACCTCGGAACTCTAGGGAACCGCAGTGACTAAGCCAGTGAAACTTCGAATGCATGGAGATTATGTCGTCCAAGTAAGTAGTTACTTCCTTCTTCATGAGAGATCAACCTCTGGATTCCTTCGAGAAATCTTTAGTGCTTGGTCCAGTGAAGTTGAGTGTACTCTGAGAGTAATCTTTCGTAGGCACATGGAACGTCAACGGCGGCAAAAATATGCATAACATTGCATTTCGAAATGAATCAAATATGACTCATTGGATCTTTTCTGATGACACGCTCGGTAAGTGGTTACTTTTCTTCAAACTAGCTGAACAAATGAACCCATATCTTGTTGGTTGAAATATTTACTTTTTAATGGTTAATATATTGATTAATAATGTACTGCTCGTCCATAGGTCTGGCTTAAAATTCGCGGTCCAAAGCGGCAATTCCTTTAATAAGCTAATAGTGACTTCTATAAACTGAATTTCACTTAACCTCTGTCTGAATAACCAGTGTTTCGTTTCATTGATAAACTAAAACGAGGTTGATATAACATTTTGTTCGGCTAACATTTCGGTGTCTGGCGCTTAGGTAACCTCACCCGACGCTGACTTCAGTCCATTGGATTCGACTTGATGCGACGAAGATATCTACATATCGAATGAATCATCCCGGCTCTGATGAAGTCTAGGGTGCCGGAACCTTAGCCGAATGAAGTACGGCAGATGCAGTGCAGTAAATTGCCACTTTTCTGATTACGCCCGGATATTCATCGGAAAACATTGATATGTTCACAAGTAAACCACTACAAGATATCTATTTCCTTCTAAGCAAAATATATTAGCGGAAGTGACAGGAAGACCAGATAAAGTGAAAAAAAAGCAGTCGAATGGAGGAGAATCCAGCTGGAATGACTTACAATCACTTGAGCTTTATGGATTCAGTGGATGTTTTCTGAATAATGAACTTGTTCATCGAAAGGACTTTTAAAATATATGTGTATCAAAAGATATGGAATGAACTATAGTTGTATTAGTAGAAATAAAAAAGTGCTCTTTCATAGTTTCCGTTGAAAAGATGGCCGATACTCTACCGGAAATAATCGCGATTGGACTCGAGGAATTGGTCGATCTCAATGCGTCGAATGTGATGAAAGCCAGGTATGGTTTATTCGTAAAAATCTCGCAGTCCTAGTCAGGCAAAAGGGGCCAATTTTACCACTTCTGAATGGTTTTTTGCCCCACTCACAGTGAGATGTCATTCTGTGCAAATTTTCCAACTTAAATAAAGCTGCCATGCTAATTATCAGGGAAACATCGAGCTAGCCGTATTTTCAATAACTGCCTGTTTGGCCGCTTGGATCCTTTTTCACTAGAAAACGCTAAGAAAACGGAGAATGGAGAACAGAAATTGAGACTCGAACCACAATCGTTTATTTAAGATTTTATCGGTGGGAAAGTGCTTCAGAGATTGAAATTTGGTAAGAGTTTTACGGCACAAATCGATGACCGAAGATGAGATGGTGAAAAGGTTTTCTAGCGGAGTCCATAAGTTTTGTCTGAACGGTTTTTACTCTGTGGACTTTACAGTTCCATAACAGTGATGGGACGAAAATTATGGGAATTAGTGATTACTGGTAGTTACGTTTGGTCTTGGAAATTCTGCTTATGAATATTTTGGATTCAAATCCATACTTTTCTTCCTATAGTGGTTTCGAATTATGGGTGACTTAAGAGGTTCATGCCAGTTCATTAATGTAAGTTTATTGGTAATAATCGATTCTTCTTGCCCAACTATATAGGCGAGGAATAGTAATGCAAGCATGTTTTCAGAAATCACTGAATAGTCATTATTGAAAGGTGTTTTGAGTAGTACGTAAATATGAATAGCTAAATACTGGAATGCTCGGACGCTCGTCTTCACTGGTTGAGCAGGCCCCAACACATTTTCCATTTTTTTGGAGTTTTGCCGGTTTACCCACTGTGGTTCCTGGAGTCCTAAGGTCAGCCAGATCAAAGTCTGTCCCAGGCTGTCACCACCACAGGGAGTCGCCACCCTTGTGGATTGGAGGGAGATTTGCCACCATGCGACTAGTTTGATAACAGGATGGTGGTGGGTTCTGGTACTAGTTTGCTCTTAGATTGGTTTCCTGATGGAAATACCGGACTCGTTAGCTTGGGAGACTTTGCAGGAGACCGAATGTCCCCGCTGTACATCGCAGTCCGACACCCAGGGTCGTTTTCCAGCCACGATGAGGCGGTAGACCGTTGGGTGGATTAGTTAAATATAAACAACATTTCCGCTAACCGCTATCAGCTTTTGCTTCTTTCGTAAACATGCTGTGAGCCTTGTATTATTTGAGAAACTGGCGTGGAAGTTTTTCTTCTTTGTTCTGTAAACCGACTTTGATTTGACTTCGGCATCAATATCAGTGTTTGGTTGTGCTGATAAGTCTACACGAGGTTATTACAACGACATTTATTGTGGCTAATATTCCTGTACTCTCGCTCCTATCAGCCGAAATGAGCTGTGTCGATTGCCTAAGTGGTTCGGGCTCCTCCAGTCTTCTGGACTCGACTCAATGTGATCACGAGGTCCACAAACCGCAAGAATAAACGGTTGTGGACAGTCGGCTTGAATCATTGCAGTTTTGATAGAAGAAGAGCCAGAAGGTTAGCCACAATAAAGTACCTTTTGTAACGACGTCCTATAAGCTCATCAATGCATAAAACATGCGCACAAAAGTATTATCTTGCAATTGAATTCATGCTTTTGTGAAGGCGTTTGTGTTCAGTACGACGAATCAGCGGGTATGGACTGAAGGCATCCGACGAGTACTGCATGAGCAGGGTCCCTATATTCTTCTAGTCGTCGAGCAATTGGTACGTGGAAAATCTTTGATGACTAGAATCTATGCGTTTATATTTAATGTCGATAACAATATTTTCGAATGTTCCAGCATTGAAAACTGCTTGTTGTAATCCAACTTCAAACAGAAAACAATGTTTTATGTAGTTATCTAAGATACTTAGGATTGATATATCAGATAGGGCGCGTGTGGCGCAGCGGTCGGAGGCGCCTTGCAATGCACATGGGATAGTCGATCCCACCGCCCGTGACTCACCAAGCCTTTCATCGGCACGGGGTCGGCAAATTGATACCAGACTTGTCTGGGAGGATAGCTGCACTGGTTCGATACATCGGTAAACCACCGTGAGTCATTGTAAAGGCCAGATATGCATTTAATCACCTCCAACGGTGAAGTAGAATGCATGGCGCATCTCTCGCGGATTGACCAACGCCGAGGTTTTTATCCTTTATTTAAGATACCAAAGTTTCACATTAATGAGCAAAATACGGTATAGGACGGCTTTCTGTTTTTCTGTTAACAACTATTTTCAGGTCGGAGTGTGCTTACTTATTTTTGTTCGACCGCAACTTGCGCCTTATATAAAAGACTTTTCTGTTAATTCTGTTAAAACGGGTATGGGTGGAGCTACTGGCAATAAGGTAGGTCGGTGCGGATTTTTATGTACGTTTGTTCTTCGAGTGATGTGAATCTTCTAGGGATCGGTAGCATTCCGAATGGTAGTGCATTCCACAAGCTTTTGTTTCGTATGTTCACATTTCGCTGCTGGTCAGAACGAGGCTGGTTTTTTCTCTTCCTTCTCCATTATGATTTCTAGACAGGTATGCGAAGTCAGAGAACATAGTTTTGGGTGGTTAATTAAGGGCGCGCGTAACGTAGTGGTCGAAGGCGCCCTGCAACACACATGGGATCGACCCTGCGCCCCAGGCTCACCAATCCCCCATCCTTTCGGGATCAGAAAATTCTTACCAAACTTGTCTAGGAGGAGAGCACCAGTGGCTCGATACATCGATAGGCCACCGCGAGTCATTGTAAAGGCCAGATATGCATTCAGTCACCTCGAACGATGCTTAGTGAATTCGAATGCGTGGCGCATCGCTCAGGGATTGATCAACGCCGACTGCTTTATTTTTTTATTGCGGGTGGTCATACTTACATGGGAAAATATTTCACTTTATTGCTGACTTGTAGGTTTGAAATGTGTGAAAAGACCACTTCTTCTTCTCTCCTTATTGTTGCTTCTGTTTGTTTTTATATTGTACTTCGTCTTTAAACCAATAAGAAGTGGAATTCTGTGTGGAATTCCAAATGTGATGCATTTCAGGTTCGAGATCGAAATGAGGACTTCACTACTGCCCTGCGTAAGATCAGATTTCCTCAAGGCAAAGAAATCGAATCTCATGACGTAATTTTTTGGTTCGGGGATTTCAACTACAGGTAATATCTTTCGCTGATGACCTCCACGTAGTCTTTGAAACTGGAGTTTTATGTAGCTGTTATGTTTCCTACTGTTAATAGCTTTTTCCTTGAAAGTTTTAGTTTTAATTTTTCCTAAATTCCTTAAAAGTGTTGTGTCGCGTGATTCATAAGCGTGAGGAATTGCTTCTTTTCCTAATTACTTGTTTATTTTCCTATATAGTAGGAGTCTTGTCTCTTCCAGGATTAATCTTAGTGGTGATGAAGTGAAAAAAGCTGTTCAATCGAATGAGTTGACAAAGCTTTGGCCTTTCGACCAATTATCACAACAAAATGCTCAAAGATTGGTAAGTTTAGAAATCTAAGCATCTAACAAAGAAAAATTCAAATTTCTATGTTAATAAAAAGGTTGTATATCGAGTATTGTGACAAGACAGGTTATGCTGAAAGTTGTGGGAGAGAGGACAATGAATATTGAAAAGCTTGACATGAAGTGTTGACATAGTTTGACACCGAGTTTTGGTGTCTGTAAAGGAAGAAATGCTATATTTAGGGTTATTCCAATCGGTTGAATCCACTCTTGTAAACAGCGTTCAGATTCTGTGTATTCCATTGTGATTTCAGGTATTTGATGGTTTTCAAGAAGGTGCACTATCTTTCGCTCCGACTTACAAATATGACACGTTTTCGGATGACTACGATACTAGCGAGAAGTGCCGTGTTCCCGCATGGACTGATCGAATTTTATGGAGGGAACGACGGGATGTCACGGACACGAAGTTAATACGGTAGAAGTACCATCTTCTGCGTGTGCTTCCTCATATTCCTCATAGCCGTACTTCTTATAAAACGTCCTCGGCTGATTACTCCTAGTTTACTGTGAATCAGAGAACAATGATGTGATCGATATTACCAAAGGAGGAATGCCTGTAGATCCTGAAATGATCGAAGCAAAACTATTCCGTTTGCGTGCTTGGTACTATGATAGTTAGAGTATAAAAAATCCAGATTAAAACCTTACGGTTGTTCATAACTGATTGTTAAAGGAACCCACCTTCTCTTTTTGTGGACATGCTAGGAAATTTTACAGACTGGGCATATTTTTTATAGGAGCTTTTAGGCCTTTATCCAGTTTTATTATATTGATCTTGCTCATAAGAGCGTTCTAAGAGTAAGATGCTAACCTTCATTACCTTCTCCAGTGGTCATAAGTCTATTCCGTTCAATTAAGTACTTAAAAAGCTAGTTTAGGTATTTCCGATCGGAACTGAAAACGTCTGATCATCGTCCTGTCGGCGCCATCTTCTCCGTTAATGCCTACCGGGTGCATCGTACGAAATGCGTTTCACTTGTGGAGGATATTGTCGCGTAAGTCGAGATTTCCATCCAACAATGGAAGAAACTGTTTTTATTCTTAACAATGTAGGCCAGCCTTCTTACCATTTTGATTCTTTTGGACTTTGTTGTACTTTTGTATCGATGTTTCTTCGATTTAATGTGTGCTTAAAGAGTCGAGGAACCTAATAGTTATGTAATTGCTCCTTGTCTGCTTACTTCGATTCTTAGGTGGCCAGTTTTTGCAAAGAATCGTGTAGGCACTACCACAATTTAGATTTAATTACTAATTTCCTAGTTAGGAATGATTTTCTTGCACGGAATTGTCACACGAATCTTGCTGTTGCCTTCCCACTCATGCAGTTTCTGTGGTGGATTGGAAGGAGATTTGTTATCTTTCGGTTGGGTTGCTCCCAGAATGGCAATGGTTACCGACATTGTTATGTTCTTAGCTTTTCTGACGGGTTAGAAATGTGGAACCCTCTCCCAGGTTTTACGACATTGCTGAGGGGATGAGGACCTTGGTTATTTCTCGTGCCACCCTGGAAGACCCACTAGCTCTCATCAGGCGGTATGTCGGTGGTGGGATATACTTTTTTATAGCGGAACTATTTTTTCTTTTCAGTAGTAAAAGTGAACATAGAAATAATTCTATTCTTTGCGAACGCTTTCATCCAGTTTTGGTTTCAGAAGCCTTGGTCCACCAGACAGCACTATTATTTGCAATTTGGAAGGAATCAAAGGTTTCCCTGTGGCAGTTTTTCCAAAAATTTTCGCGAAACTAAAGGAGATACCGGCACAAGTATGTCTCAGCAAGTAAGTGCCACATTTGTGCAACTTTTAAACTTTTCGAAGTTAATTGTTGAAATTTGGATAGTAGGAGTATAAACTTATTAAAATTGACGATGAGTTGAACTTTCCACGTTCTCGATCTTTTAGCTTAGGAAGTTTTCTTATGTCTTGGGTTACATAAGATAGTTGGCAGATAGTTTTGGAGACACTTTGCATTGTAGAATATTTGAGGAGTCCTCCCTCTACATCTTAATCTACTTCAAGGGTGTTATAAAATAAACTAACGTCGAATTTCAGCCTTCAACTACTACGCTTAACTGCTCGGTAACAGTATGCATTTCATCGCTTCCATTGTGTACATGAGTACATTGGGTGTGCTGATTCATTCCTTTCTCTATCTCTGTTACCAATTTCGAAGCTTTAGTTGCTCAGTAATGACACGCTTTATCCGAGAGTACGAGCCGAGAGATATTAGAGCTTTCGAGCGCGACTAGTGTGATTTTGTCTGGTTGTCCTGTTTCACGTCTGCTCATGATTGGGGCTCCAGCTCCGGAGAGAGGAATTCCGGTGATTTTTTATCCAGCGAGGATTTCGGGGTTTTTTTTATGGGGGTCTGGGGTGGAAATGTTAGTGTGGAACCTTCACTTAATCAATTCCATATCATGCGGTGAAGTTGTAGTAAACCATTGTTCGTTGAGTAGAGCTTACAGTGGAGCACTACATTACTGTAGGTCCCGACGACAGTTCTTCATACACACCCATTTTTAACTGCTTCCAGCAGGTTTTCTACCTATACCGATGTATGTTCTCCTGGAAAGATCTGCAGGTGGCATTTACTATCGATGATTTTAAAAGTGATGCACTAGGATCACCCTTTTGTTTCTTCTTTTCTTGAACAATTCCATGATATTGACGGAGATGCGGTCCTAACATCTTATTTGAGGGACTGAGGCGTATTCGGTACACGTTTTAAGTCTTTCGACGTATTTCATTAAGATTGTTTCCTTGGTGTGCTATTCCAGATTTGCCGATCCTGTATTGCCTTTTATGACCTAGCATTGGAGTGTTCGATAACAAATTTGAAGGACTTATTATTGAGGACTGCTCACCTCAGCTGATAATAGAACACATTTAATTCGTGCTCATCAACACCACTGGTTGTAGACTTTCAGTTGGTAAAATCTTGATCCTCTTATGATGCGTTGGTTGTAAACGGAGAATCACCGAGCGTGGTTATAGGATCTGAAATGAAATAACCTCATAGGTAATAGATAGGTACACTAATAGCTAATAGATGTACGACAAAGTGCAGGCCGCCGATGTAGTTCGTGACGGATCTATTCTTTACGAGTGGATTTTTATTATTTAATCGATGTATATCGATCGTGCTTTTTGTCGCTTAGGTGGCGATCACATGTATGTGATCATGTATCACATTTGATGCGAATCTCAGCGCGTAGTCTCAAGGAAAGCATAAAGGACAACGTCTGTGGAGACTGTACTGACGTTGTAGCTGCGGAGCAGTAAACAGTCTGCATAGCTTGTCTCTGACGTGTTGTTTTGATCGGACTTCAGTGACGTCCTGAGCAACTCGAGATTTGACGCTCACTCATCAGATGTCCCACCACCTGGAATCACAGACGGTGAGAGCACTGTGAGAGGACACGAATGTTGGTTGAGCTATTTCTTGTTCTGAGTCACGATGCAACCTAGTTGAAGCTATCAGATAGTCACTGAGTCCTAGCAGTGATTTACCTTTAATTGGGTTGAAACTGTCGAATTCCTTCTCAACATGCTGGAATATACTTAATCCCCTGCTCTACCTCGCAGTTCGTCACCCAGGAACACTCCTGAGCCACATTGATGTGCTAACTTATTGACAGGCGACTAACATTTGAATGTACTTTGTGAAGTACCATGTTTAGGTTCGTAGGCGGTGAACTGCACATAATCCTTGAAAGTGGGGAAGCGGCACTTGCTGCGTTGAGCATGGATGGAATCCGCATAGGTGAGCAGCAATTTGTGCTTCTTGTTACTATTATAACTAGGCCTTAGAATTATTTGTTTAGATGACTATCGTGTCTCCGTGCGTTTGCGATCTCCGGATTGGGTGGAGCATCTACAACCTAAATTGACCAAGTTCGCTTCTTCTCTAACTTCAAACGATTCTGTGTCCCTTTTTGAATGCGACCTCACCATCACCAATGAGGAAGAGTTCGATTTTGACGGTTTGTCACTTGTTACTATCAAATGAGAATTTTCTTTCCATGTTAAAATAAATTTTGGTTAAAAGCTCAAAAGAGTGCTTCCTAAATTCCATACAAGAAATCCATTCATGTGTTTTCCTGTGAAGTACGCTTTTTTTCACTTTGACCTGGATATTTTTGACGTAACAAAGGAACTGTGGTAGGATTTATATTTCATAATTGTTCCTAACTATTCATTTGTTCCATTCTATCTTAATTGTGATTTCTGGCCCTTTCTATCATTGTAGCTGTAAACTCTGTGGAACGTAGCCGTTCGACAGTAAGCATTTGAACGTTTTCCGGATTTCTAGGCATTCTCATTCATTCACGACAAATGATTCTCTTCACATTGACAAGTAACACTTTCAGCGTTTCTCTAAAGCTGTTTTTCTTTTAATTTTACCCTTGCAAAATTATTCTTTAACATAATTGAAAGGATGCTGGTCTTTCTATAGCTGCTTAACCTTCCGACACCTACTGTACAGAGTGCGTTCTTTTTCTCTAAAGGTACAGTTCTATTCCAAATGTTTATTCCAAGCAACATGTTTCTGTTCTTTAAAATTTATTTTACTTGGATAGCCTCACATATTATTCGGATCTCAGCACTTCTCTCAGTCGATTGGTTTCCTCGCATCTATCGTCAACAAAGCTCTTCGTATGTTGCATGTTGTGGTTAGGTTGCTCTTGAGAATTTTTCTCTTCTATCTATCGCTAAATGGTACTTAAGTCAACTTTCGCTGGAATTCTAGGATAATCGTAGTAGGAGTTTCCCAGGTCTTCATCACAGGCGGTTACTGGAGTTCATGGAACAAAGGGCGCTTTTCGTGGGCAGGTGCGGAACCTGTTTGGTTTTTATAAGTCCGGGATGCGTCGAACTAACGAAATTGCGCGTTTGATTGAATGGTATCTCTAGTAGGGCGTTGTCCACTCAGTCACTCCCCTCCCCATGTTAAGTATAGTTTTCCTTGAGTAATTTTTTCATCTGATATTTGTTCTAAAATTCGAATTTTTTGAATAATCCGATAAATTGTGTCTTTAAGATCTTTGGTGCGAATGCAGCAAGCATAGAGGATGTATTCGACATAACACCATTTCTTTCGGAAGAAGTTTTCTTGTAATTAAGTTGAAAAAGGCTTTTGTTCAGTCGGTATACCCGAATGACTGTTATTCTTTACTTTTTTAGCGATTTAATATTTTGTGGCAGATTTCATTTCAGATAATGACGATGATGCGACGGACTCGGAGAAGACAAATCTGGATGGTGCCGTCGCCGAATTCGCGTCGAGGTATCGATATGCGAAACGGTCGAACGTTTTAAGAAACAGCTCATGAATTAGAAGCAAGATGGTATTGGGTTTAAAATGTTGATCAGTCCTGTGGTGACGCATCACCTTCAAGTTTCATCTGTAAATTTGCCGGCTGATTGTGTTCGTACTTTGCTATGTGATTTAAAACAATGGACATCCAATCGTATTGTATGGGACGTGATATTTCAACCCTCACGTGAGAATCTGTTCACAAATGACGCACCCCAGTACGATGGATGGTTTGGCAAACCATAGTTTGAAATTTCACCAAGAGATCCTGTGTGCAGTTAATTCTTTACCTTGCTTCGCTTCCTATACCTTAGAAGAAAGTGTAGGACAGACATCAGTAGGATTTTGATAGATTATAGTAAAAAATAAGAAAAAAAGTAGTTTTAAGGAACCGTGATTTTTGAATCTTGCACGTTCAATATATTTGATTTCTGACCGTTCGATTCTTGAAACACGTCAACGAACCTGCTGTAAAATGAAGTGGCAGGAGCTGATGTGGGACCAATCAGTAACCATTGGTGCACCTTAATGAGCACAGAGCGCTGATGGGATCACTTAAATTCGATTGGGTGAGATTCCGATATCCATGAAACCGACGTGAACTTCAACTACAACCGGACACTGTGCTCAAAATAGTACGGTTTCTAAGAAGGTGATATTGGCGTATTACGTTGGCTATAGTTAATTATTTGCCGTCTTTGTGTTAACAAACCAGTGATCCGAAAGGTATGCAAAACACTAGTGACGTTATTCAAGAAAGCAGGAAAACTTCTGAGAACTTGGCTATAGGTGTGTAAACAACCAAAAAATTACAGAAAGCAAAAAACTAATGCAGTACTTTTGCTTAGGTGCATGGTATCTCCACTTCAATCACCGTGTGCTGAACAAATAAAGCCCGTACGACAAGCGCCCGATCCACCAGTTCTTCCGAGCCGTCCACCAATGCCAGTCATTCCACCAAGACCGAAGGAATTTAGCGTGAGAGAGGCTTAACATATATAAAGAACTAGATAGGTAGAGTCAGTTTTATTACTTTAAGGTTGGTTGTATTTCATTTTAAGATCATTTCGTTTTTCCTTTTAACTGTTTTAATAAATCGACAATGGAATTTACTTCAAGCTCCTGTGCATTTCCTCAAAGTAGGAACCGACTTGCTTGCTGTTACGGTGCCATTGTGTATATAGCCGTAGACGTATTAGGCTTATCATTGCTCGTTTAAGGAACCATGCAGATGATTGATAATTTTGCAGAACTTCAAATTCACTGTTTTGATGTGTGCCGTACCTACGTAGATGTGAAATGCGAAAATGAAACTGAATTCCGTTTTAAAGCTGTGACCAGTACATTTTCAATTAAGAAGCTTTGTTAAAATAGAGCTAATCATCTGGATTTGATCGCTTACACACCGACAATCGAATAAAACACGAATAACAGTGATTGATAAGAACAAGCTGGATGATCCGTTTACACATATAGTGTGGGTTCCAGCACTTCATCTCGTTATCTTGCAGTCTTCATCTACAGAGAGGGAGGGTCAAGCTTGTACATGGCTTTAATTGCAACTTGAAGCCCTGCTATCTTTCCTCGTTGGCACGTTGAATGTCCAGTGAACGTAAACGTAAACGTGAACTTTCCCTGTAAATCGGAAATGGGCATGTTTGGGCACTCTGAGGTCGTACCACTGTGTTGCGACTTAGATTTTTCAGGTCGTTAGCGAATCCTACGGTTGGTAGACCGACCGCTCGAGAACGATGTAACAGGCCGAATACTGATAAGAACTACTATATTTCATTCTATTCATGGGGTTATACGAAGTTGCTTGCAAAAGGAACTCTATGGCGAACATTCCATACCTACGCCTTTTTTAGAGTCACAGTGATTCGAGTCAGTTGTCGAAGTCGCAGTCATTTTTGCGATGCCTTAGCACGAGGTCGCATTTGAGTCGAAGATAGTGAAATACACTGTACGAATTAAAAAAGGGGACCAAAATGTTCCAGAATGTTTTATTACGTGTTAATATGCGACATTTACTTAAGTATCGGAGCACCCTTGTGATATATTGGAAATGCCTATTATTTCGACGACTTTGATTCGTAGATTTCCATCTGCTATCATCCCATACAGGGTGTGTGTGGCGCAGTGGTGGGAGTCGCCCTACAACACACACGTGAAATCGATCCCTGCGCTCATGGCGTTGGCAAATTGGTACCAGACTTATCTGGGAGGATAGCAGCACTGGCTCAACACATCGGTAGGCCACCGCAAGTCATTATAGGGGCTAGTTATGCATTCAATCAACTCCAAACGATGTTTGAAGTCGAATGCATGACGTATCTCTCAGGGATTGATCAACGCCGAGAGTTTTTTCCTTTTACTTTGTCATCCTCTTTGTATGTTTCTCACTAACAAAATTGTGTGACTTACCGTAGTTGACAAGGATCACCTCTGAAAACCAACAAATTACAAGTGTGTTAGAAACACACCAGACCGCAGAATCAAACTATAAGTTCGAAATGAACGTTATCGTTATCACGGTCGTCATATTTTTGTGAAAACCTGGAAAAGAGCTTATTTGTTTTGCTAGACAAGAGAAGTTTGTTTCGATTCGTCTGATATGCTGATAAGGGTTTTAGAGAGTATAAAAGGGGAGCGTGGTATAGGTATAGTTCAATTGTTACTAACATGCCACGCTCAAGAAGTCGGAGTCGGAGCCGGAGCAGAAGCCGAAGGAGTCGAAGCCGTCGCAGTCTTTCGCGATCATATGCTCGACGTTCACGACGATCACGCAGCCGTCGTTCGCGATCATGTGAGTTGTTGAGCGAGCTATTCGTTGAGCGATCCGCCGACGATGGACTGACGTGAACTGTATGGACTGACGACATGTCGCGAGTGCAGTCGTTCTTTTGGCTGATTTACAGCAGCAGGCTAAGCAAGGGCCTGCACTGTTGAGTTAGCCTTTGTCGCATCGTGGTGGAGCAAAATCCACTCATACTGGATGCTACCGCAACGCTCTAATACCGATTCTCTCGCTTCGTTCGATTTTCTGTGACGAGACAAGTCTCGTTGCTGCGCCTGATTCGTTTGACTTCGAAAGTATCCATCGTTGAATGTAGTTTAACGAAGGATCTTCGTTTCAGCCCGACGTAGTCGAAGGGGTTCCCGACGTCTAAGTAGGTACCGAAGACGTCGATCGGGTAGCCGACGATCACGTCGATCACGTAGACTATCGAGGAGCAGCTCGAGACGAAGGAGAAGATCTCGTTCACGTCGATCTCGTAGAGTCGGCAGGTACGCATTAGAATATGCTGGGGATACGTTAGGGTATCCTCGTTTTACTGCTTTCCGAAATACTCGTTTTCCTGTGAATGGGTATTAGCATTAACAAACTACTCTTGTTTTTTCTGGTGTATATATGTGTTGGATATATATTAACAATCTACATTCCAGAGTTGGTCGCAGGAGACGCGTGTTTCGACCTCGCAACGCTCTGGGTCAATTTATAAAAAAAGCCTGAAGCACCAGGAACTGTCCGAGTATACTAACACTGTACTAACACGAATAGCAATGAAGCTTTATTTGTACTGTTTGTTCATGTTCACGATAGATGAATTAGATGGTAAAAATGGGTAATTAGATGGATTAGATTGGATGAAAGGTAAAAATGAAAACGGTAAAATCATTGACAAATAGTAACTAATGAGCTAGAGTACTAGCTGGATGGTTTTGCAGTCGAGGAAAACGGTAGAGAATGCGCACATTGAGAGACCCGAGCTGGGCAATTCCGCTGAGAGAACCGAAGTCATGTGAGGTAGTTGTTAGTAATAGGTAATAAGTATATGAAAAACAGCAGGCGTGCTAAAGTACGTAGGCGTTCTTCCCAGTGCGGATTCCAGAGCTAATTTCATCCATTCTACCATCATAACACCGTCATCTGTTGAGGTGGTAGTTCACGAGTGGCTGACTGTGAGTAAGGCTCTGTTAACCTCATAGAAATATATTGAGTTATGGTTGAGAGTGTTTTCGTTGAAAACCCACGGCAGCAGTGTTCTAGATTCTTCGCCGTACGCAGTTGTTAGTATTTGTGGAATGGAAGACATTTGCTGCACTGTGGCTCGGTTTTTTCAAGGACCATAGTGATTCTGGTGGCACCAAGAAGTCCTATGATTTGCCTGCTAGTAAAAAAGAGTGATGCAAGGAACCGAATCTGAGATGAAAAGGTAAAATGTAAAAATTGAAAATGTGATGGAAGAAGGCAGCTGTCAGCCGCCGTCGACCTCTAATTTTCATTACCCTTACGAGGTACGTTTTTCTGTTCTTCGTATCTACAAGTTCGTTGCATTGGTAATATGTGCTAATTTTTCTCTGTGCTCAACATGCAATGAGTCATCGAATTACTTGAATGGCCCATCCTCACTGGTTGTGCGGGTTTCAGCATCTCCATTTTTCGGGGATTTGTTGGTTAGCGCATTGTGGTTCCTTGGAATTCCGAGGTCAGCCTGCCCAAAGCTTGCCCCAGGTCTTCTCCACCACAGGCAGTCGCAGCGCTTGTGGATCAGAGGGGATTTGCCACCATGCGACTTCAGTACGAGGACGGTGGTGGATCCTAGTATTGGTTTACTTTTAGCTAGGCTTTCTGATGGAAACGCCGGACTCCTTATCAGCTTGGAAGATCCTGCCAGGAGATGAATCTCTACTATACATCGCAGTCCGATACCCAAGAACACCTACTAGCTACGATGAGGCGGTAAACCGTTGGGAGGCATCAAATTACTATTTTACTATTTTTTTTATTTTACTATTTTACTAATTACTAAAAATCAAATCAAATTATTAAATTACTGTATTCAGACTGTATACTATAAGGATCACCAGTTAGTTCGATTCACTGTAACTGCTGTCACCAGTGCTCAATCATTTATCGTCGTCTCATCTGCTCTCGTCAGTGGAAGCAAGGAGAACGTCTCGCGTCGTAGACGACAAGAATGACAGATTCGTTCCCAGGAAATATTTTGCCGAACTATTCGTGGTACAGTAGCATAGACAGAACATTTCAGCAGTGTGTGGTCCTAAACAGACAACGGAGGGCAATTTATATGAACCCACAACAAATCTTCTGAACTTCAGCAGCGTGCCGAACATTATAAATGGCTTTCAAAACTTTGCTTTACTTTAGACTTCAGAACTTTAACCCTTTAAGAACTTAGGAATCATTTCCTCTTTCCATCGCATTTCTTTAACGGAAAAATTTAAATGGGAAAAAGGCGATCGTTGGTTGACGCAAGTAGTTCAATATTTTATTAATGAATTATAAAAAGTCTTTGATACACAACATTCTACAAAGTTCGTGTGTTGATTCTTTCGTTGATTCGTCAGACTCTGTTTGTCAAAGGACTTTTCTGCGGCATACAGTCAGAAGACCGTTGCTTGTAAAGGTAGTAAGCAGCTCCTATGGTGGATATCAGGCTGACATAGTTGAGGAAGCTTGGCGAAACGTCGTAGAACAGGTAGAGTGAGGGGAAGTAAGCGATGAAGATCTGAAATATTAGTGGTTCCTGCAGTATTGTCGAAAAATTAGAAACTATTCCCACAAATGACTTTACCCACATAAGGTGAATACGGAGTGCTTCTCTGAAACACAGGTATTGACTTGTGGAACAAGTTAAAGGTATGGGCATCCAGTTAAGGTGGCGTGGACTACTCCTAAGTACTCTTAATCTGGCTCTGCGATTTGTCTAACATGATGTCTGATAAAAGTGGTTACTAAGTGGCTAACGCTCCATAAAAAGACGTGAGTAAGAACGGCGATCAACTCTGTACATTCTGGTGTTTTGTTTTGCGTAATTCTTTCTCGCTACGTGCTAACGAAGTCTCTCATCTTCTTGAAGTGGGTAAATTGGCACGACCCTTGCCTGAGAGGATAAAATCACCGACTTGCTAAAGCGTTAGGCCACCGAAAGCCATTGCGCAAAGCAGATATGCATTCACTATCTCTAGATGTTAAAGGCGTCGAATGCATTACTGTTCTTCTAACGTTGTGACATGGGACCAGGAAAAAATAGAGGTAAAGAGAAATAGAGACAGTCATCAGTAAATGGTTATACCTGAACAGCAGCCCGAATGTTGGAGAGGATTTGAGTTCTTAGAGCGCCGTTGTGCTCAAGGCAAAGGAACGTGACAAATTGAATGAGGATTCCAGAGAGCAGAAGTATCGCAAGCACACCGCCAAACGATGGATGTGCCGATGTCAACATGTACATGAACGCGTCTCGGATCTCGTCCTACAACAAGTTCGCGAATAACGAAATATATCACTAAGTCTCATTTTCTAAATACCAGTTTCAGGCTGGTGTCCTGTTTTCTTATAAATTATGGTCTACTTTGTAAAATTCTTCGCATGTGAAGTTGAGAGTTTAGGAAGAAATGGGCCAAATGGCTTCCAGAAAACTACAAATTTATCATGACAGAGTAATAAGAATTCTGTCTCATCTATGGAAACTAGTTGATTTTAAGTACCCTTATCTCCACCAAGCCTTCCATCCCTCCTCCTTAGTCGGCAAATTGGTATCTCACTTCTCTGGGAGGATAGCAGCATTGGCTCGGTATGTAGGCCATCGTGAGTCAGTGTATAGGCCAGATATGCATCAACGATAATTAATGAAGTCGAGTGCATCCCTCATGGATTGATCAACGCCGAGAGCCTTACCCTTTCTTACAGTTTGTTAACGTCTGGTTTAGACAATTTAAATCTTGATGAATACAAAAATCTCATAATAAGGAAAGGTTTCTACGATGACGGCAAATTCACTTGAATCTTGACCACTTAGATACTCAGACGGCCAGTTGTCAATGCTTATGCGGGCCTCAGCATAAGCTCTACTTTTCGGAGATTTGCTTGTTTAGCCATGGTGTTTCACTGGAGTCCCGAGGTCAGCCTGGCCAAAGACTGCCCCAAGTCTTCACCACCGCAGGCAGTCGCAGTCCTTGTGAATCAAAGAGAGATTTGCCATCATGTGACTAGTTTGATACCAGGACTGTGGTGGATCCCCCCGATGTTGGTTAGATTTAATTGTAAGTTACTAAGACGAGGCGTTAGGATTCAAATGTAGGTTGCTGAGGCATGCACTTGAATCTTGTGCTTCATAAATAAATTTTCGGTAGAATACTGCATTATTCATAAAGTAAAATGTTCATAATTACCTGTCACAGTAGGTATGGTTTTACCAGTGCTCTATTTTATGCAATTTCCCTTTCCTTCTGTTGCTCAACGTCATTGTTAAAGCGACATTTAGAGTTTATGAATGAGCTACACGTCCAGTGGCAATCTTATACGTAGCTTTGTTACATTCTTTTTCTCAGAGATAGATGTTTTACTTTTAAAGCAGTCAATCGAAGTGTTTCGAGCATTTAGAACTTATGGGATACAACATAAGTGACGCAAGAAGTTTTTATTTTATCTCATGAAAACACTTCTTAGCGGTCAGAATTCTTGTTAAAGTTGAGAAAAAGCGCTCTCCTATTAAAAACATGTTGTTTTAGCTTTTATTTACTGCATATTCTTGTTTTATCGCAATGTAGCATGTGAAATAGGACGTTGAGGTATGAGCGAAACTCGGAACAGTTGCGGTTCGAACCAGCGATTACCCTTATCGGCTCTCACGTCTTCTCCATTGCACCAATCTTGCTTTTTTCCTCTCAGCTAGTTTCTACTCTAGCGTTACTATCAGCAATCGCTCATAAATATATTTGTGGAAAAGTTGTATCCTATTCTTTCTTATTAAATGGGAAAATTTTTGTAGAAAAAGGATGAGACTTGATGTGTTCACTCACCTGTACAACGTCAGCAACTAAGAAGAAAATCAGAGAGTTGAAAGAGTTCACATACAACAGTTCAACAGCCTGAATTTAAAACACTTATTTTGTTTAGAATGTGTAAATTGTATTTGATAGTTGAAACATTGAAAGAGAGCTTCCCTTTACAAACTTTAAAAATGTATTTTCTAGCAAACATTTGCTACTTCTGTTGTTGTTGCAAGAGCACGGATAGCTTAGTGATTAGTTCCTCAGAATCCAGTGTGCTCGTTGGTTCGATAAGCTGCGCTCTTTAAGCTACTGTTTTAGGCCGAATAAGTAGAGGATAAGCTCTCGGCGTTGATCAATCCCTGAGGGATGCGCCATGTCTTCTACTTCATTAAGCATCGTTTGGAGGTGATCGAATGCATATCTGGCCTTTACAATGACTCGCGCCGCCTGCCGATGTATTGAGCTAGTGCTGCTATCCTCCGGGAGAAGTCGGGTACCAATTTGCCGATGGAAAGAAGATTTGGTGGGCCATGGGCGTGGAGATTGATTCTACGTGTGCGTTTCAGGACGCCTCATACCACTGCGCTACACGCGCCCCTATCCTGAACAACCACTCAATAATCTCGACGAGTGGAGTAGAGCTCGTGGAACTCCTTCAAAGAATGATCAACGTCGAGCGCCGTATCCATTATCTTCTTACTTTTTCTTCGTACTATTGTAAAACGTAGCTTTTGCTTCACTAGCTCCATGCAGCACTGTTTCTAACAGCAAATGATTGATTGGTGGCATCGTGCTGCTTAAAATATTGATCTCAAAGCAAAAAAATCATAAGACGTCACTTCGTCAGTTCGGACTTAGCCACGACGCTCGTTTTGGTCGAAGAAAGACCCATTTTTGGATCAAATTGTGGTAGAAAATGAATCCTCTACGGCAACTGACTATTCTCAGAGCACTGAAATTGGCTTCAGGTGAAACTTTATCATGCGTCAAAAAAAAGGTCACCAAAGGAAGGATATTGGTTGGCCAATGTTTGCTGGTCTGAGCCGAACCAACCCATCACGAATCTATAAGCTTTCTCCACTTTTGCGGAACTATCGCAGCATCAAATATCGTAACGAATTTGATGGAAAAATGTTTTTCAGTGGAAAAGGTCTCCTTCTGGGCTACATCATTCGACCAAAGATTCCACTATAACGCCATCGGTATTAAAAAAAAATTGTGCTGTCAAACCATACCTCGACCATCTTGTTCACCGAAGCTTCCACCAAAAGCTTTTCTTAAACAACTGGACAACTACATTCAAGGAGAATTCTGGAGCATCTAAGTTACTAATGGAGCGGGAAGTTGCCTTTGTTGTGGTGAGGATGTATTTAAATCTCTTAAGTATCTAATAGACTTAATCTTAAGCTTCAGCTCAGCGTCTGTCAAATCAAGAACTTCAGAATTTTATGTTCTTAGAAAGATTAATTTGTACATCGTTCATAAAGCTGTATGTGTATATTCCAACTATTCCAACAGCCGCTTCCATTTTAGCTATGGAAATTCTGCCTGGGCCGAGTTTTGAGATTCAAATCCTTGCCGCTAAAAATCCATGATCATCTCTACGTTGATTTAGTATTTAGTTAGTTAAGCATATTCTTCTTCCAACTATTTCTGTTAAACGAAAGAAAAATTAGAAATAAGCAATAACACAAACAACTTGCGCCTTAGGAACTTCGCTGTGAAGGAGCTTCATACCTGGTAGGTCCGAGAAAGCATTTCGAATTGCATGTAAGCAACTGCTTGCAGTGTGGCAGCCATCAGACCGTAGAACAGCGAGTACCGGTCCAGCGAGAGCTCCAAGTTCACTAAAATCGTCTATTGCTCTACTCCAGTTATCTTCGATGATGACCGCTGGTGTTCACCGTCACCACCTCTTTTACTGAATACTCCACACCAATCCATAAGTCCAGTAAGTGAATTTGCATAAATATTTTTGCGCTCTACTCTGATGAATTTGTGGAATTCTCTCATTGAAGGGAATTGGAATTGATAAAGACGTCTAGAGATGTTAGTTTAATGCTAAACGAAGATTACAGCTGACAATGTACTTGTCGCGAGACGCGGGCGAATTCCGGGAATGGATTCTTTATCCCTGATGAGCTGTGTTAACATTGAAAAAACTGCAAACCATGTTAGTGAGAAGTTAGTCGATTAGAGATATGCGATTGTAGATGCATTTTATCCATATTAATGCAAAACTAAGAAGAAGCTCAGATCTTCTGCAGACGAAATCTATCATCACATTCTTTCAGAATTTACGGATAAAAGGATAAAGGATAAAGCGCTCGGTGTCGATCAATCCTTGAGGGATGCGGCACGCATTCGACTTTATTAAGCATCGCTGGAGATGAATGAATGCATATCTGGCTTTTACAGTGACTCGCAGTGGCTTACCGATGTATCGAATCGGTGCGTGCTGCTATCATCCCAGACAAATCTGGTACCAATTTGCCAACTCTGGAGAGATGGAAGGTTTGGTGAGCCTGGGTTTTACGGACAGCACTAATAAAATGAGGAAATACAACCTTACGACATTTTTAGAAAACCATCCCTTCGCAGCAAAAGTAGGAAAAACTTAGGAGAGCTCTTTCTTAATAGTGTAGCAGTTACGCAAACTCTGAAGTACACTGGTAAAAGAGCACTTCAACTTCTCAACACTTTTCTGCGTGTAAATGTCTTTGGCGTTAATTTGATCAGGCGATCATCCTCCGAAAAAAAGGTGTTTTCAAAATTCTTCTTATCCGTAGGGAATCTCACTCCCAGACCTTTCAAAAATTGTAAACAAAGCTCCGTATTTTTCTTGCCAGCGGCCGACCTAGGATCTTTCTGGAGTTTCTTAAATTTTTTCCCAATTTTTTTTGAACGAGGTTTTTCCTCAAATCGTTGACCTGTTAAGAGTGAACCGAGTGAGACTCCTATGACACCGATCAGTTGAGCGTTGTTGAGACGACTCTGGCGAGAGATCGCGCTTGAGGCACAGAGAATAATCACCGGAGTCACTCTGAAAAACACCTGCTCATCTGGACAAGCTTCATTTGTTTTCTTGTGGCTTCACTCTAAAAACTTTGCTTACTTCTTCTACCCTAATCGTGTAATTGTTCATTACAATTCGGAAATCAAACTAGTGAAATAAAAGGCCCTTAAAAGAGGTGTGGTGCTACACGTCTTTGCTACACATTCGGAGTAGTTAACGAGATTAGAGACAACTTAGAATAGCGCGGCAAATAGCCATTTTTAATGGCTACGAAACCGTAGCTCGAGATAGGTGTAGAGGAAACCACAGGTACCCCAACGATAACTCTAGCGACAACAAGGTCCCGTATATACTGCCCTTCATTTCAAATGAAGTAAGTGCAGCTATAAAACGCTGTTTGAGAAGGGCCAGTCTAGAAAATTCGGTAACGATAATCGAAATACCACCGAGTAATCTAAGGCGCCAGCTAGTTCATAACCGCCTATACGACCGTCTATGTGCAACGCAAAATTGTATAATTTGCCCCAATGGTAGAGACGGTGACTGCATGAGTTCGGGTCTTTCTGATCTCTTGTAAAGCGTGCGGGGACAAATACGTTGGCGAAACGGGTAGACCACTCTGCGTACGTATAAGAGAACACCTAGTCGGCAAACGTAAGCTAAGTACTCCACTAGGTACGCATAGCACGCAGAAACATAACGGAGAAGATTTTGAAGTAAGGGTTACGATCCTCGCGCAAGAATCGAGAACACAAGCGCGCAAAAACTCTAGAGGCATTCTGGATAAATTCCAAGAATCCGAAAATGAACCGCAGGGAGAAATGCCTCGTTATCACGCGTGATATTGGACAGTATATAGACAATACTTCTTCTCCTTGAACTTTTCACAATCATCAACCGGACACCATCAAGCCTGAGAAAGTTTCTCAGCCAGCAGACTCACCTTTTAACGGAGTCGAACGCCGGCATTCCGATGCCTTCGAAGGCTGACAGCGTCAACCACTGAGCGATACAGAAGAGAATGGACGGCAAGAAGAAGTGACGTCCCTTGTCAAACGAGTATGGTGAGAGTTTCAGCACTCCGATCACTCTAAAGTGAAACATTACGACATATTTTATCTATTTTCTTAATGAATTGAATTAGCCGTGTTAGATTAATTAACAGAGAAATTTATTAAATGCGTTGTAGCAGCAGCTTTACAAGTCACAAATGGTACTGAAGTATAGAAAGCTTTCAGCAAAACTTTCCAGTTGGGAAGAACATAGAAGATAAAAAAAATTTCAATGATTTATCCATCTCGATTCTCTCTATATAATTCCTCTCTACACATTGGGCCGATGCCACAATAGATCTTTCTTTCGATTCGTTCCATCATCCACTCAAGTGTTCGGAGATTTGCATGTGAGTTTGACTTTCCCTCGAGGACTTTTTCTTCACAGATGGTATTCAATGCTGGTCGCCAATTTTACTCGGCTTTCTGTAGGAGGGTTCTTAATCCTCAGCATAGGGCGCGCTGTGGATCGGAGGCTTATCTTGAAGATGTCTGATAATAGTTTCCAGAAGTCGAAAGAACAGCGGGCTTTGTGGAGTCGTGCAGGATTGAGCCAGTGACCGTACGTGTATTACCCGACATACCCTTGTAATACGACATTCTTCACCTTCTCCTCATGAATTTGCAAAGATACTTTTTTAGAATTACAACTTTATATGATCGAATTCCTTTAATGCAATGATTTCTTAACAGCCGTCCCTCACGTTCTTGAGAACTTGATCTTCTGACTCTCTCAGACATTGGTCACATGGTGCCTCTTACTTCACAAAAATTTTCAGCCAACGTCGGACCCAGCAAGACTTATTAGCTTGTAGAGAGAGCGAGAAATATTTCGTGTGGAAATTTTCTTGGAGAATTATTAACTCATTATGTTAACCAATGAAAAGTAATGTATAAAAAACAGATCGAAAAGTGCACTGGAGAATCTCATTGCTCTCTCAATTTATCCCCGTTCCTTTGAGAGAGAAGATAAAGGTTATGGTAAAAAGAAGTCGATATAGCTCAGAGTGATGAATTCAAGACTATGGTTAGTTCGGGGAGTAACGCGTTCACCACACCATACGTGTCCTTCGCTTCGCTTGTCTCTTAGCTAGTTCTATCGATCTTTTATCATCAGCAATCACCCGTCGACGGGATTGATGTGGGGTGCCCAAATTGGCAACGAACCCAGTTAAGCTGAGGCTGTAGTTATAATCACAATTTCAGCTTATTATTTACCGCCTGCTTTTTTCTAATGGCACGGTATATTGCGAAATATAACTTCAATGATGCTGAGATATCTGCAAAACTCCGGCAAACAGAGAGAGAAAAAAGCTGAGAGACACGTGAAACGAAGGACCCGCATGGTGTGGTGTTGAACGCGTTACTCTCCGGAAATGACAGTAGCGCGTTCGCTCCCCACCGCAGACACCTGCGGTTCGGAGTTTTGCAAATATCCCAGCATCATTGAAGTTATATTTTTCAATATATCCTGCCATTAGAAAAGAGTATGCAGTAAATAATAAATTAAAACTATGGTTAGTGTTTGTTTAAAAAATGTACCGCATTCCAAGGACACGTGCAACTCAGTGATTTCGTTTGCTCAGCATGTTCATGTGACTGACACTTCGATCGTTCTCTCCTGACTCATCACGCCTTCCATCTCTCGAGGTTCGGTAAATTTCTAGCACATTTGTCTGGGAGTGTAGCAGAACCGACGTGATACATCGGTAGGCGATCGCCGCCTATTGCACTGGCCACATATGCCTTCAGTCACCACTAACGATACTTAGTAGAGTGTATCGTGCAGACCCTCAGGGATTGGCCAAGGCCGAGAGCTTTATCCTTCCTTATTCCTATGGCTGTAATCGAAGAAGGCGATCACATTATCATATCTCAAGAAGTTTCTGTTCATTCTGGTTAATATCTCAAAAAGAAAAAAGAAAAATGATTGATATTTGCAAAACTCCGGACCGCAGGTGTCTGCGGTGGCGAACGAACGCGCTATTTTCCTTCCCGGGGAGTAACGCGTTCACCACCACACCATGCGGGTCCTTCGCATCGCCTGTCTCTCATCTAGTTCTATCGATCACTGCCACCAGCAATCACCCGTCAACGGGATTGATCTGGGCAGCCCAAATCGGCATTGAACCCAGTTAAGCTGAGGCTATAGTTAGGCGAAACGAAGGACCCGCATGGTGTGATGGTGAACGCGTTACTCCCTGGAAAGGAAAATAGCGCGTTCGTTCGCCACCGCAGACACCTGCGGTCCGGAGTTTTGCAAATATCTCAGCATCATTGAAGTTATATTTGGCAATATACCCTGTCATTAAAATGAATAGGCAAGAAATAAAAAAAGATTAAAAATGGTTGAGTTTTAACCACATTTAATCCAAAGCCAAAACATCCTCTATGAAAAACGTATCATGGTGACGGTGTCATCATCAAAACCAAAGATGTTTTTCCTGACCGCTACCGAATTTTTGTGCGAAATAATAATTGATTTTCCACCATATTTAATTTACTTGCACAGAATTTTCTACGAAAACCATAGGGTAAGTCTTCAAGACACGATTGGATCATTCAAAAAAGTCGAAATAGTCATCACCGACAGTGACCTAGGGTGCGGATGGCGCAGTGGTTGGAGTCGTCTTGCAATACACACATTGGACCGATCTCGCTGCCCCTGGCTCACCAAGCCTTCCTCCCTTCCTGGGTCGACAAGTTGGTAGCAGTCTTGTATGGGAGGATAGTTGCACTGGCTCGATACATCGGTAGGCCATCGCCAGTCATGGTAAAGGCCATATATGCATTCAATCACCTCCAGCGGTGCTTAATGAAGTGGAATGCACGGCGCGGCGCATTCCTCAGGAACTGATCAACGCTGAGAGTTTCATCCTTTTGTTATTTATAAAAGTTTCGAATATTTTGTGAACTTTATTGTTGATAAATTACCAGCTGGGTTGATGGAATTTTCTGGGTAGACTCGGAGGGATTTTCTATTTACTGCGAATTACCCCTTGACAGGTTGGGAAGTTCATTTCTGAAGTGTTTTCACCTCATACTTCCTATTTACTACTGTTTCACGCCAACGGAAATCGTTTCACTGGTAGAAATGATAATCGATGAAAAGAGAACACAGTTTTTTAGTCTCAGGCAATAGTATTTCTCTACAAAGAACCTCCCTCGTCTTGAATTGGCGGCTAGAAAGGTGGTATCTGGCCCATTGGGAAAATTTTGCCTGACAATTTCCGGTTTTTTTTGTTGATACACTTGTTTTCTCATGGGTATGGCTATAGTTGGAATAACAGAGCCGAATAGGAAACGGTACCGCTAGAATTAACGGGAACGGGATATCTAGGGTAGTTGTGCTGTATCAATTTTACAGTAATCCTGATCAACACTGACTTTTATTTAAGTCAGTCTACTCTCTCATACTCAATCGAACATTGAAAGGTATGAAATCTCGCGGACCTTCAACACATAGGTGACATGAAAGAGCAGTTAGGTGAATTTATTTCATAAACCTTTAAAAAGACTTCTAGCAGAAAAAAAACGCACCCACGAAAAAGTATTGAAAATGAATATTTCAAAACATGACTTTCTCTTAACCTTGGTCCGACTAATCAACATGTATTTGAATTGTTCACCTGACACGAGGTTGTTATTAAACTTTTATTCCCTTTGCGTTTCGATGTCTTCCTCTTCCTCAGTACAAAGTACTGTGAACATCGGTTCGGACTACCGGTTTCGAGTAAGACGAAGACGTCGAAGCGTTATCGCAGTAGAAGTTTCATAATAACCTCATGTGTCAGATTCGTTAGCATCGCAACCCCCCTCCCCTCCTACCCGGGCACTTTACCGAGCTCATCATCCCTTCGGGCTTGGAAAATTGGTGCCAAACTTCTCTGGGGAAAATTCACTCTATGCAGTCCAAGTAGGAGAGCTTTAGCTTGGCTTTATCAAAACCCCAAGGAGAATCGACTAGACCAACATTTTATGACTTTTAACATAAACCCACAAATAGCAGCGAAACCCATAAGTAAAAGTTGGAAGACCCTCGTGGATGATATGTGCGAGGAAGCATAGTAGGTGTGAAAGATGGGTTGTGTAACGAAAGGTAGTAATAAAGCATTTTTAGTATCTTCGATGTTAACGCATTTCACAAGGATTTCGCTCGGTAGATATTTAGTCTATAATTCTTCGTTTTACTAAACTTTATTCGTTTATTAACGAACGGCACGACATTACTGAGGGTGAAAGATTTTTCGTCATAAGAATTGTTGGAGAACACGTAAACGAGAAAGGATAAGGGGTTCAATAATGATCAATCTTGAGAAATGCGCTTTGCACTTTTAGCATCGTGGTGGTGATTAAATGGATTTCGGCCTGTAATGATGCTTGACTTGAGGTACTCTTCCGATGTAACCAGTCAGAGTTTTTATCTCTCCAGATAAGTTTGATAACAACTTTCTAACACCTGGGAATGGTGAGCTTTGTTAGTCCTATGCGCAGGTAATAGAACCAGAGACCATGATCTGTTTCATAGGGTTACGTGGACCAATTTTCACATATAATACGGAATCCAAAGTGTTTTACCTTAAAAGTTCGATGATGAATAGTGTGGTGGCCATTTGTAGCATAAGAATAACAATGGGATAGTCGAAGAAGAATCTAGTGACGACGATCTTTCCCAAAAGGGAACAAAACAGTGTCGATCCAACGTAGAAAACGGCACTGAAGAAAGAGTCGGCTTTGTTACAAAAGGATCGGTGATAGTCTTTTTATTCAAAGAAGCTATAAGGCATTATTTATACCAATTATTTGTATACCAATTATACCAATTATGTGATTTGTCTGGTCGTTTTAGGAATATTAGATAAAGGATAAAAAGCATAAAGCTGCGGCTTTGATTAGTCTCTGAGGTATGCGCCATGCCTTCTACTTCATTAAGTATCGTTGGAGGTGATTGAACGCACATTTGGCCTTTACAATGACTCGCGGTGGCCTACCGATGTATCGAGCCATTGCTGCTATCCTCCCAGACAATTCTGGCACCAATTTGCCGACTCCGGAGGGATGGAAAGCTTGGTGGGCCATGGGCGCAGGGATCGATTCCACGTATGTGTTGCAGAGCGCCTCCGAACACTGCGCCAGACGTGTCCAAATAACTTGCCAAGTAGGAAGTCTGAAAACTTTGACTTTGTGGGAAAAAACTGTCTTTTAAATATCGGTGTTAAGTTTCGCTTGTTTAGAAAACGTTCGTTGAGCAATGAGTAATTGGTTTCTAAATAAAGCAGATTGTAAGTGAACCTCATCAGTAATTGAGGAGGTAATTGGAAGTGAAAAAGGTCCAATTTCTCTAAGAAGCTGAATCATTGGTTTCTCCTTGAACCGCAGAGAAAATGTAGACTGACTCTTTCAACTTATTTAGTGATTTTACAGCTATTTATCGATGAATCTTCTGGTTTATAATTTCCTAACTGTTCTTAATAGGCTTTTTTGGAAAATATTTGATGTTATATGCCAGATATGCATTGATCGCAATGCATTTGCTACATAAAGCTTTAGGCGTTACGTCTTAATAAAGGGAATGTCACAACTTTGCGAGGAGTTCGGTATCAACGAAAGGTTAGGGCCAAAGGAAGAATTCGCTCAAAAGAAGTCGATTAACATACCTTCGAATGGCCGGGGTCATCAGGAAGATCATGGCAAACTAACGAATCTGCTCGATAAATCTTTGCCCCACTTCGGGAAAAGATCCACGGTCAAGATATGACAGCCGCTTTCATTTTCAGCATCGTACATTGTGGGGAATAAAGTGGTTAGAAGCAAATAAAAAGGCAAAAAAAAATTGATTGCTGTGTAGTTAAACCATCGCTAACAATCCTTTACGCAACTATAACTTGTTTCGATCAGTTTTTCCTTCTTGATGAACAAGGAAGATCAAGGCGGAAGTTGCAAGTGTCCTAGTACGGTGCAAGCAGTTAGCTCACCGTCTCGGTCTCTTAAGGAATCGGTATATTTCATCTTCCACTTTTATTTTTTTTTATCACTTTTTACAACCTTTGTATCTTGAATAAGGTGTTCATTTCACGCAGTGCAGTGAAGTGCCTTGAGATACACACACCGACCTTGGTTCGATCCTAAGCTAAGAGCAAATGATGCTTTCCATTCCTCTTGAGTCATAAATATGGTATTACACTTGACTAGAAGGATAAAAGTACTGATTTGAAGCATTGATGAGCTATCACAAAACATCCTATAGAAGAAATAAGCATTCGCTTATTCCTGAGATGTCACCAATGGGGTCGAATTCATGGAATATCAATGCAGAGTGTTCAATCTTTTTTCTTTTATCAAAAATAATTACATAGCATCGCAGAACGTCCTGGAGGTTCTGCTTACTTTGTAGGGGAAAGTCGTAGTATAAAGGCCTCGTTGTCTACTTTTTTTTCGGCGAGAACGTACGGCGTTACTCTTCTCACTCATAGTTGTGTTTCAGCGCATCGACGATCATGCCCACTTCACAAACCTTACTAAAGTACGAGATCTGCTACCGAATAAAGCTCAGCTTTCAGTTTTTGGGACGTTTAGTGCTTTTAATTATATGTTAATTCAGTGACCAAATTAGTTATCTAGGTGGAATAGAAGTCTAAGTGAAATCCTCTCAAGGCCTCTGGACACCCTGTGATCACCCAATCGGATCACGATCCATGGAATTTTCATGTAATCCAGGTGAAATAGTTTTGTTTTATTTCTCATGTGCCTCAAAAAGCAGACCGGTTTCCTAGTTAAGGATGATAATTGTGACCAACTGCTTTCCTCGATGGCACAGTAGAATATTTCTAAATTAGTTCAGATTAAAGTTGACAAGACTGTGAAAAAGGTGGAAAAACCGGATTATTAGTGAGGAACAATGAAGTGGGTTTGAAACTCGATCGTGTTAAGGATCCATCAAACTACAGTAAGCAGCAACTTATGCAAGCTATGGTTTCAAAAGATCTTCTCCTTTTCTAACGAAGTTGAATAATCGCCTGGTGAAAAAAGAGTTTCCTTATCGTGTATCTTATGTGTAGAATAAGTGGGCTCAAGTAGCGCTGTGGTGGGACGTACTTTAACAAAAAGATAGTCATTACTTCGATTCTATCCCCTGAGGTAATGGCAATAAATTTTTCCATATCTCTGAGGTTTGAAATATGGTCTTAGACAAGTTTAGAAGGGTAAAATCATTGACTGAGCATATCAGAGATACTCGCAAATCATTGTGTACGCCAGATATGCACTCGTTCACACTGTAAGGCTACGATTGCATGGCGCATCCACAAGGGATTTGTCAGCGCCAAACGCTTCCTAACCCTCTATCCTATGCATCGCATATAAAGGTGTAACCGACTAAATAGGAGTTGATCTTCACCCAAATCGGTGAAGATGCGTTGAAGGTGGAAGTAGTCGCTTCGGTAACTGGGCACACCTCCACACTGGTTGCCACGACGGCCTCACTCCTGATAGGTGTACATCATATTCTGATCACTGGTGTAGTTCAACTTGATGTTCTTTGTTTCTTGATTGCAACTGTTGCTATTTTATCGCATAGAAATATTCATTTAGCTAGTCTTATTCATGACTGCTACTGTTACCCACTAATAGGTCATATTGTCACTTTTGTTTAAAAAACAATTTTGGAATTTGTTTATCTACATTTTCGTTCACATTTTTTAATGTTTATCTTTAGTTAGGTACGAAATTGCTGATATCGAAGGGATGGACCACTTGGTTTTTTCGGTGCGTAAGATCGGACTAACGACAATGCGTGTGCTGCAGGGCACCTCTAACCACTGCGCTATCCTAAAAGAGTTACATTTTGAAGCGCCATAAAAGGAAACTGTAATATTAGGAAATACTACTCTTTATCCGAATTGTTAGTAATCATGTTGACCATCAGGTATCAGGTGATTCAAGTATCTACCATCAAAGCCTCCTCATTCATAACTTCCTGCGGAGCGAAGTGCACTTGATTTTGCAAATGAGTCAAATGAGAAGAGTCATAGTTTTTGTATGAAACCTTTTGCGTAACGGGGTATCTGCGCAATCCTAGGCCTTTCACTTAACTGGTTTTACTGAATGAAACATCAGAGTCGTACTCAACCTAAATTACTTCACCATTGGCTGAACCTCTGCTATATAAAGGGGAACAATGCATGGGTTGAAGAAGCATAGCGTAGAAATAGAGAATTTGCAAAAGAATTGTCAGTCTAGCCGCCATCACATGTAAACCTTCCATTTCGAATGTTGTCAGATTTCCTCAGTATTGGCCATCAGAGACTCCAGACATCAGCAGCTGTCGCTTTTCACTTGTCCTGCAGATCTTCGCTTTTGCAATGCTTCAGCTTCAAAGTGAATTTGTCCGCTGAATTAGAACCACCCTCGTCGAACATTCATTTCGTCACTAGTCATTGCGTGCGAATTCCGACAATTTTCCCACGCTCATAAGCTGTGATTATATTTAGAAACTAGTTTCGTACAAATCTAACCATCTTAGCGCTGGTTAGTTTACACGATATCCTTTACAACTTTTAAGCAATGGGTTGTTGTCATTTAAGATTTATTGCTTTTTTTACGTAGACATATTAGTGCTGCGATCAAACTAGCAAGCCACTTGCACTGAAATCCAACGAATATATTTGCTTTCGTACATAATAAAAAGTTTAAAATACAGCTCAAGAAGAGAAAGTAGTCACAGCGACGTTTTTCATAACCCTAGTACGACGTTTTTCAAGCTTCTTCTTACATTGCGTTCTGAAAAAACCAAATCGTACATGAATAGATTCTTTTTTCTTTCTTTCGTTAACATTTACACTACCGCCTGTGGGTCTTCTATGTCGTGTTAAGTCTCTTCCGTGGTTCACGAAGGTTTTTTTCACTGCAATTTTTGTATTCTCTGAAGAGAGCGACAAACGTAGATCCCATTAGGAGTGGCTTGTGACGAGCTGTTCTCTAGGCCTAAAAAGCACAATTGAAAGTATACTGATATACAGCAAATGTAAATAAATAAATAAGTAAATAAATAGATAAATATGTAGATATCTAATGTTAAACAGCCTAATGGTAATAACTGAGGAGCGCGTGTGGGGCAGTGATCGGAGGCGTCCTGCAGCACACACGTGGAATCGATCCCAGCTCCCACGGTCGACCAATCCTTCCATCCCTCCGAGCTCATCAGGTTGGAACCAGACTTGTCTGGGAGGATAGCAGCACTGGCTCGATGCATTGGTAGGTTACCGCGAGTCATTTTGAAGGCAGATTCAATCCCCTTCAAACGATGCTTAATGAAGTAGAAGGCATGGTGCATCCATAAGGAATTTATCAGAGCTGAGAGCTTCATTTTTATCCTTTAACGGTAATAACTGGTAACAACGACAATAATTACAACATATTGTTAACCGACGTCCATTAAGCATGGGCATGAATTATCAGTGTACGTTATTACATTGGTCAGTTAACGCGAGGTTGTTGCCAGACATTTTCGGCTAACGTTCAGACGTCTTCGGTTTCTTAAGAGCCATTGATCCGAGTAGATGGTCCACAGCCTCACGTTCTAACAATGTGTGTTCTTCGTAGTTGCATCGAATCGAGTATTCTGGAGTGAAAGACTGTTCGAATAAGAACGCCACTCGGCAGTGCTCCTTTTATAAGAGTTGCTTATATAGATTGCCCATTAATAATTATTTGTCTTCCAACGACGATCCATCCTAAAGCAGTCGGTAGTAGATAAGTTTTCACGTAGCGAAATAGTGCTTTGCAAACGGGCTTTTTAACCCCGGTCTGCATAATCAATAATCCTTATTTTATTGATAAGCCAACACGAGGCTTTTGCCAAGTACTCTCACTGGGGTTCCCATTCGAGCAGTGTTTCACTCCAGAAGATTCGACTCGGTGCGATTGCCAAGACCCAAAATTGTGAGCATGAGCGACTGTGGCCCATCAACTCGGATCGTCGGCTCTCAGGAAGGCAAAGGTGTTGATATCCCAAAAAAATGTTTGGTTACAACCTCGTGTTAGCTTATCAATAAAATGAAATACACTAATAACAACATTTTGCAATTCTTGTCCACAGCAGAGCTCATTCAGAGATTATTACCTACGCTAAATCAATTACAATTTCCTTACGCAGCCTTCGCCCTTTACCTGCTATCAACAACCTTTGTACGAAACTTGTAATGCTTGCCTACAATAAATCTTTTTTAAATAGAATTTCTCACGGGTGTTGTGCCCTTACTATGGCGTCTATTGAAACAATATATTTACAACGACTGCATCTGCTTCTAACCCTTTGTGTGCCTACTGTAGCGTGTTTTTGATCGTAGAGTTCTTTGATAGCTTGCTATAGAGTTTTAACAATGAGCACAAAAAGCGTTCTTTTGCTGTAGTTCCCAATCACATCCGGTTCTGGTGAGTTGGTGGAACGACACGCGTCGTGAACTATGAACGACATAACAATGTCCTTCTTATCTATCCATTTTGAGACTATTAGGCTCTTCCGATTTTCCTGCACTACCAACTGTCCACTATTCAGCTTCCGGTGGATGAGCGGTCTAAGAAATTCTTCCGTTTTTCTTGTGGTTGCCAACAAAATGAGACTTTCTATTGAGTGAGTCCTCACCCATGGAAAGGCTCGTGTACCTAGTGTCGGTGTAGAAATACTTTCCT